TGATTTAGTCCTGGTTCAGTCCTGGTTTAGTCCTGGTTTAGTCCTGGTTTAGTCTTTGTTTATTCCTGGTTCCGTCCTGGTTCAGTCCTGGTTCGTCCTGGTTCAGTCCTGGTTCCGTCCTGGTTCAGTCCTGGTTCAGTCCTGGTTCAGTCCTGGTTCCGTCCTGGTTCAGTCCTGGTTCCGTCCTGGTTCAGTCCTGGTTCAGTCCTGGTTCAGTCCTGGTTCAGTCCTCTCTTCTCACTGGAGTGTGTTTGTGTTTTCACAGATCCCTCGGACGTCGTCATGTTCTCTGGAGCCGTCACAAGTACGTCTCACTTCACTTTTGTCAAATTAAATACACATTATTCCAAATTTCATTCCTCTTCTTGCTTGTTTCAGGTTCACCCGTAAAACGCAAACTCAGGAGCGACTTCATGCACGGGTAAATAACTCATACATACATGATTAAAGTGGAACTAAACACTAAATACACTTTTTATTTGCTAATGAATTGTGTAAATGGTGTTTAAATAGCATGGTGTACAGTTCTGAGTCCGTTTTTGATAGATTTGGTGCAATCTAGGTAAATGTCCAGCTCACTGATCAAAAAAAGTGTGTGCTTCCTCCAATAAAAGTGTGTGCTGCCTCCAGTGGCCACTCCACTGCAATTTCAAGTACTATGTGACATCACACAGGACTGCCCTGATTACAGACACGTATTTCTGACACTTTAACATAAATATTCACTTCAAACTACGAAGAAAAAAAACACACCGGGACAGAAAACTACTCCAGGGCAACCATAGTTCTTTTAGAAACGCTGTTTTAGCTTTACCTCGCCGGAAAACCAACAAAAGGGAGAGTTAAGTTCTGTTATCTTTGTCCTGTTTTTTTTTTTTCATGAAAAGTCGCTCTTGGATACGCATGTGCCATCTTTTGGAGTGCGTAAAAGTGGTTGGTTTAGACGCTTTTTCCACTCATCCACAAAATACACTTTTTTTTGCTTTTGAACTGCTGTCAAAAAGTGTGTGCTGCCTCCAGTGGCCACTCTACTGCAGTTTCAAGCACTACGTGACATCACACATGACTGCCCTGATTACAGACACGTGTTTCTCATACAAACACTTCGACTTAGTCACACTGTTCCTCACACCTCCAGCCCCCGACTACAGACCAGTTTCAGTCTTGGTACAGTTCTGGTTCAGCCCTGGTATAACTTGCTTCAGTCCTGTTTAACTTTACCTGGTTTAGTCCTGGTGTAGTCCGTCTAATTCTGGTTGATGAAGTCCTGTTTCACCCCTGGTTCAGCCCAGATGTAGATCTGCTTTAGTCCTGGTTCTGTCCTGATCCTGTTCGGGGACAGTCCTGGTGTAGTCCTGCCTTAGTCTTGGTTCAGTTCTGATTCTGTTCTGGGTCAGTCCTGGGTTAGTTCTTGTTTAGTCTGGTTTAGTCCTGCTTTGGCCCTGATTTAGTCCTGTTTTAGTCCTGTTCAGTCCTGGGTCAGTCCTGGTTCAGTCCTGTTTTAGTCCTGGTTCAGCCCGGTCTCACCCTTTCTCTGTTGCAGTCCTGATGAGTCCTTCCTGTCCCCGGACTCGTCGTACCTGCTGGACACGTCGGACAGCGCCCCCTGCTGCTGTCGCCGCTCCCCGCGCCTCCTCACCAACGGATACTACGACGTGACGCAGGGCAGCTTCACCTGGGACGAGCACGGCAACGTCTCCCTGGCGACCGGCAAGACCAGCGTGTGCTACAAGGAGAACCTGGTCCGGTGAGAGCACGCCCGCTTTAGTCCGGGTTTAGACCTGGTTTTTGAGGAACATTTTTATCATGATTTCATTCAGAATTCAGTTCACAGTGCATTTTACAAACCTGGTCTGGAGGATTCACATTTGGCAAAGACAGAAATCTGAACTGATAAACATGTTTGTAGAAGTCTAAACTACATGATGAACAGCTTTTATACAGAATTAAACCTCATGGAGACACAGGGAGGGCATCTGACACATTTTTTGAACATGTTTGTAGAGGTTTACAGCTACTACAGGGAACACAGAGGATCTTCTTTTGTGGAAAACGTAAATTTTGCCGTAGTTTAGTAGCCAGGCTGGCGCCACCTAGTGCCTCCGCTCAATTTCATTTCTCTCCAACGACTAGGTCAGGAATCAGAATACATTAGACGGTTCGCAAAAACCCCGGAAGGGCGAGTTCGTGCACCAGCCAATCAGTGAAGAGTCAAATATTCTGTGTTGTCAACGATTCCCAAGATCGAGGATTTAAAGCTGGAACAAAGAGAATGTTTGGTGAATTTTATCAGGGGGAAAGATGTTATTGTCCTTCTTCCTACGGGATTTAGGAAAAGTTAAATATACCGTACTTTCTGCACTATTAGGCGCTCTGGATTATAAGGTGCACTGTCATTAAATGGTCTGTTTGCGAACTTTTTTCACAAATATTCCGCACCGGACTTTAAACGAAACTCAACAGTGTGATGGGTCAGTGGTTTTGTTTGTTTGTTCGTTCACGGTGACTCTGGGCTTTGTTCAGTTGTGGCGTGTAGGGAGGGTGCTGTCTGGGACCGCTGGATTGTTGGCGTGTTCGCAGTGACTCAGTTGTTCAGTCGTGTCTAGAAGTGGCACATTGCACTCGCTTTTCGGTTCGTTCCTCCGTTCTGTTCCTCGTCGGCGTGGAGTGATGAGTGTGTCTGTGGGTGTTTGTTGCCGCATGGTCGCTGTCTGCTCCGTGTGTGTTTGCGGCTTTGTAGTTTACTGAAGTCGTGCTGTGACACCCGAGTGGATTCGTGTATGGGGCGCTCTGGATTGTGGGGCGCGCAGTCGTTTTTTGACGGGGTTAGATCAGGGGTGTCAAACTCATTTTGGTCCGGGGGCCGTATCCAACCTACTTTGATGCTAAAGGGGCCGGATCAGAAAACTCATGTCATATAAACCCCAAAAATAACAATAAGTTCAAATATTTTTGCAGAGAAACGCAAATCTATTACAGAAATCTTTTTTAATTGATGAACTCTTTCTTTTACAAAATATTATAATATTATGAACAACCTGAAACTTTAAGAAAAATGCAATTTCAACACAATGTTTTAGCATGAACTTGTGTGCAAACAGGAATAAGTCAATTTTTCTTGTAAAATCCTGCACTCTGCTCCACTTTTCTCATTTTTGACATTTTTCCGATGAGGGTGTCAACAGTCAAAACGATCGTCCTTTAAGAGCATTTGGAAAGAGACAAGTCTTCATTTGTGCTGCGCTGGTGGGAGGGGCCACGTACAGAGATGCTGGAGACGCTGTTATGCTCAGCACCGCAGAAACTTACCAATGTTTTAATGGAAAATATAATTTAAATATTTTAGTAGAAAATCAGCCAAGGGCCAGATTAAAGGTCTTGGAGGGCCGCATCTGGCCCCCGGGCCTTATGTTTGACACCTGTGGGTTAAAGGCTTAAGAGCGCGTCTGATAGCCCGGAAAATATGGTACCAGTTAAGCCCCGTTAGAGGCGCATTACATACGTCACAACCAAACAGCAGCGATTGGTTAAATGATAAAAAGTATCCACCTACCGTCGAGTGAACAAATTCTAACACTGCGAGGTCAGACGGTTTCTACGAAGTGAAACCAGCTGATGAATCAGGCTAGTAGTTTATAGGAACTGACACTAATCCAAACACAAAGTTAATGTAATTTGACTGTATAGTGTTGTACAGCGTTGTTGTTACTGGGTTGTGCGGTATTATCAAAAAGTAGCAATGGCATCAGTTTTATTACTGTCATGATAAAAATCTGCAGCGCATAAGAACCTGATATAATATTATAATTTATTGATACCTACATTTGTTTACTCAGCACAAATGAATGGTTGTATTTTCAGATTAATTTTATCACGATTTAATACTAATATTATCTATAATGTTTCTTTTAACTGCGTGGGGAGATGACATTTGATTAGTTTTGTTCCGTTGTCATGTGACGGTCTTAAGAAAGACCAAGACAAGACGGCCGCAAGCCAGTTGGTCCCAAAAAAAAAAATACTAGTACTTCTGCAATTTGGCAACATTTTGGCTTCAGGACACATTTGTTTACATTTTTACATTACAGAAACAAAACTTAAAACCACATGACTCATTTGCATATATTATAAAGCATTGATAAAAACAGCTCGCTCCTTGTGCACTGATGCGGTTCAGCTTCTGTTGGACTAAACAACTAAACTCAGTGGAATATGAGTGTTCTTTCTGTGACAGAGGATGTGCTGCTGATGGTGAGTCTGTTCTGTGTGTGTGTCGCGTTGGAGATGATTCATGTGAAACTTGTGCAGGTCATACACATAGATCGTACAGCGGTGCGTTTTCGTAGCTTTACCGAAGTTGTACTAAAACATTTTGGTAATACGGTATTACTGTACACCCTGGTAAAATCCTGAGAAGCTTTAACAGTATCTCAGGTTGTTATGCTGTGGGACAGTGTGTGCGGGAACAGTCTGAGCACATGTCACATTCTTCTGGGCTGACTTCACTTCACATGTCACACCCCGCACACACTCTGCTCTGCTTTTACAATATGTCAACCTTAGACCTGATTCAGTCCTTGTTCAGTCTTGCTTCAGTCCTGCTTTTGTCCTGGTTCATTGGTTCTAGCTACATTAATCTTGAATGTCCACTGCATAAAACCAAGTATGATGTATTTTAGTTTGGGTAAAAGCCTGGTTAGTTCTGTTGGTTCAGATCCGGCTGAGCTCATCGCTGCAGGGGCCTGATGTGTTTCTGTGTTTTGCTGTTTTATTTTAGACACTTCCCATTTTAAACACAACCAGATCTGCTCTTTAGACATGTGACTGAAGTGACTAAACAAACAGCCTCTTGCTTAGTTTTTCTATCTCGTTTTTATCTTCGCTTTCATTTGCAAATAAATAAACAGTTAAAGAGGGGGTATTATGAAAAAAAAAGTGGAATATTCCCTCATCAAAAAACATGGAAGAGGTTGTAGATGTCATTCATGCATGTTTGTAGAATTTAGTGATCTCTCTCGGGCCCTATTGGAACCCTCCGTACAGTTAGTGTTGAGTCTGTACAATGCTCTGCCACGACAACTGGCTCTATTCATGCTTAGTGGAAGACGTTAAGAAACATGCGGATGACGACTTTCGGTGTAGTTACTTACCGACGCTGGGCGTGTGATAAAATCAAGGATTTAGCAGCAGTGTTTTCACAACCTGCCAGAGCTTTCCATGAGACTCACATCTTAGTGTTGCAGTCAAGTCCACACTAACCGAGACCAAGACCAGTCCGAGACCACAGGGTTCAGAGACCAAGACAAAACCAACACATTTGATGGTCGAGACCGAGACAAGACCGAGACAAGACCGAGACCATGGCCCATCAAGATCAAATCGAGACCATCTTTGTCATTTTTGACATTTATTTGTATTTTACAGTTATTTTGGCACATATATGTCAGTATTTTTATAAATCTATCTACATTTTATCTGATAAATGTTAATTTAATCTTCAAGCAAACTATAATACACTTAAATACAACACTTTTTTGGACCCTCACTCACAGTTTCAGAAGCTCTTCTTTAAGCCAACTTCCACTGCCACTTTACAGAAAACTACTTAAAAGTGAAGAAACTGTGTCAGATTTTTAAACCTGTTTTCCTAACGGGAGTTACATTATCTTACTGGTTTTTGCAGTGATATTGACGAGCCTTTGCACATCTACCAAACACACATTGTGACAAATAGCAATAGTTTCGATGCGCACTTTTATTTGGCAAACTTCAGCCACATGTCGCAGTAGACCTGCTCTGTGTGGACTAGGGATGGGCATGATTAATCGATTAATCGATAATTGATCATTAAGAATTTCATCGATTACGTTAATTTTAATCGACAAACCGAATGTAGGTTGCTGTGTGTAGCGTGACCAAACAGGTGTGTACATGTGTCTCTCTGCACTCAGAAGGAGCGAGACACAAACATTCGGTCAGTCTGCAGTGTACTGAAGCACAAATGCGTATTTAACAATGATTTATACAAGAAAATCCACACTTTCCGTTGCGTTCGGGACAAGTGTGAGGCCATGTGCACAGTGTATAAAGCAGCACATATGTTTCTGTGTCCAGTGGGAAAAGTTTTGCCAGGTGAGAGTCGCGCAATGTCGATGACGAGTCCCCACCTCCCTCCCCCCGTACGCTGTCCTGGTTTTGACAAACACAAATCTGTTCACACTAACCTGTATTCACCTGAGTCATGTCTTTTAATCCGACAGAAATTGACCGCATCAGTGACACAAGAGCTGTAGTTTTATCTTCGCTGAGTTTATGCAAATTAGCAATGCGGTTTTAAGTTTTGTTTCTGTGAGAGTTGCGCAAAACTGAATTAAACACATTATAATGTCAAACGGGCTGATGTGGCTCTAGAGTCGTTACGGTTTATATGTCGTAAAGTTGAATTTATTTATGCAGATTCAGTAGTGCAGATAGTAATAATAATGATGATCATTTTAATATAAAAACGTTAATGATTAATCGATAATCGATCGTTAATTCTTCCGACGATCGATTAAGAAAATTTCATCGAATGCCCATCCCTAGTGTGGACACTGTAGTCTAACCCAGTTAGACTACAGTCTAACTTATACTTAAATATAAGTACATAAATATGTATCGAAAGCATTAAAAAGAATAAAAAAAAGGTGTTAAAAGATGTAAATTTGTTTTGATGGACACACTGAGAAACCAATAGCAGTTTAGTCTGATGTTGCATTAACCAATAAAGTCAAAGTTGAGGTCCTGGCGTTGCACAAGACCTCAAGTCCGAGACAAGACCAAGTCCATGCGCCTTCAAGACCGAGACAAGACCGAGTCCAACTGCGCTAGAGTCTGAGACGAAACCAAGACCGTAAAAAAACAGTCTGGAGGCCGGTCTCTGGTCTCAGTATGACAACATAATGTACAGGTAAAAATTATAATACAAAAATTTAATAGGGACATTTTCTCAGTTTTCGCAGATTTTGTCAGACTTCCAAACGTCAGCCGGTTTTGTGACTCCAGAGCGTGAAAAGAGCCAATTCTCCATAAATATATAAAAACATGATACAAAGCTGATGTGATATGCAGTGCTCTGGTTTTATACATGTACATGAAACATTTGACTGAAATACCAAAGCAAGTGAACTCATTTAAGTTTAGGTTCTGGATCTCACTTTTCTCTTTAAGGTTTTATCTCATCATTAAACGTAAATTTCCTGGTGGTGAGGGTGTGTCATGTGCGTAATGGTGCATTTATGTGTACATTTTACTGTGAATGTGTTAAAAATTAATTGAAACAAGTGCAATCAGAGATATCAGCCTGGTCCCCATGAGGCGTCGGTGGGTCAGTTCATCACCACAGAAGCAGTTTATGAGGAGCTCAGCCCATATTACATGATCATTATATCCACAATACAATGTGTGTATCTGTACAGGCCCATGAACATTTGTGTGATATTGGTCACACATGAGAATGTCTGTGTGTAACGAGTGTGTAATTTTTCATGAGTTGTGTGTATGTGAGTTGTGTGACTGTAGATCAGTGTGTTGTGAATCACCAGAAAAAGAAGAAATGGAAATTATTTTCATTCCAATTAGAATTTTAATGGCTACACTGAAAGAGAAAGGAACTGTTATAATTAGTGATTATCTCAAAAACTATTAGTATTTTACTGCTCAAATACATAGAATTATAAATCGATAATATTTTTCCTGAGATTTTGAGACACTCCTGTTGCTCGAGCTCCATTCTTCACGGAGTTATGACCAAAAACGCATATTTGACCTTGTTTACCTTGACCTTCAAGTGACCTTGACCGGTTTCAACCTGTAACATCCAGTGTGCCCCGGTTATGTGTGTGCCAACTTGTGTGATGATTGGGTGAATATTTTAGGGCGCAGATGGTTCAGAAATTGCCGAAATTGCCCGATCCTTTAGTAACGCCGTGACTTTTCAATTAACCTGCGTGACCTCAAATGACCTTGGATCGTCGCCAACCCTTTTTTTTTTTTTTTTGTGGCATTGTGGCACAGACACATAGGGTGAATACAAAACCTGGTCAACCCTTCAGGGACCAGGTAAAAAAAAAGGTTTCTCTTCAACAAATCCTTCCTCTAAAAATAAAGGCCCTCACGTTGTAACAGTGGGGCCAAATTCCAGGGCCTCAGTCACTGTTGGCTTAGTGTCCACGAGGATTTAACGGTGAGGTGAAGAAGGTTAGAACAACTCTCACTTCCTGTTTCCTGTTTGTGTTCTCAGGGTGTTCAGGCGCAGGCGGCGTCCTCACAGCGCCCTCGTCAGTCTGCTCCACGACGTCAAAGACAACTGTCAGTCATGGCTCGACCAGAAGGTGTTCGGGGGAATGTTCAGGACCAACCACTGCCAAGATCTCAGCCAGGATCTGAGCCAGGACCTGAGTCTGGACCAGAGCTTAGACCAGAGTCCCATCCGGAGCAGAGACAGACCCCACTGGGACCTAGACCAAACCCAAGACCAAGACCAGGACCTGGACTGGAGCAGGACCGACGAGTCTCTGTGGACCAGACTCAACAGCACCGAACTGGAGGAAAAGAGGGACTTTATATACGGTATGTATCCAGACCTCTTCGCTTCAGTCCTCCAGACCTTTAGCGATTGTTATGCAGCTGTTGTGTCTTTGGGCAAGACATTTAACCCCCTGTGTGAATGTGAAATGTGAGTTATTCAATACTTTATTTTTTACAATCCATAACTGTGACAAACTACATTGACAAACTATTTCTTACAATTGTTTTACTTCTGGTTTAGTCCAGGTTTAGTTCCTTCGTTAGTCTCGGTTTAGTCACAGTTTTGACGCAGATTTAGTGGGATAAAAGTGTGAATGCACCGTAAGAATAAACCAGGACCACACTTGGACTAAAACAAAACCAGAAACCAGGACATAACCGGGACTAAAACAGATTTAAAACAAACCTAACCAGGATAATCCATGTGTCATTTGTTTATTTATTTTTCAAAATTAAACCAAAAATAAGAAAATGAAAAAAACAACTGTTTTCTTCAATATTTGTCTCCAAAACTAAAATGAAAAAAACAGATAACGATTCATTTTTTTTCAGTTTTTGATTTTGTGTTTAAATCAAAAATGGAAAAAAAAATGGATAATGGACATTTCCCATTTCCGTGACTTAAACTGCGATGACGGAACCAGGACTAAAACAGGACTAAACCAGGGATCAGACCAGAACCAGACCAGGATTGAGACCAGGACTGAGACCGGGACCAGACCAGGATTGAGTCAGGGACCAGGACCAAGCCTGAGACTGGGACTGAGACCGGGACTGAGGCCGGAACTGAGGCCGGGACTGAGACCGGGACTGAGACCAGGACTCAGACCAGGACCAGACCAGGATTGAGTCCTGGACCAGGACCAGGACGGAGACCTGGACTGAGAACGGGACCAGACCAGAATTGAGACCGGGACCAGCCTGGGACTGAGACCAGAACTGAGGCCGGGATCAGACCAAGAAACAGATCGGGACTGAGACTGGGACCAGACCAGGACTGAGACCAGGACTGAAAACGATTTAGTCTTGTTTCAGTCCTGATTCAGTCAGTTTTGCAGTGCAAAATCCGTCATTGCAGTTTAAGTCACAGAAATGGGAATCAAATCGTTATCTGTTTTTTCATTTTGGTTTTGGAGACACATAATGAAAAAAATTGTTGTTGTTTTTTGTTTTCTTATTTTTTGTTTTATATTAAAAAACGAATGAACGAACGATACACGGATTCAGGATGAAATTAGTACTAAACCAGGACGAAAATACTAATACTAAATCAGGATTTAACCAGAATTAGACAAGATTTAAACCAGGACTTCACTAGAACTAAACCAGCACGATAAACCAAGACTATAGTAAGCCTTGCCCCCTTTTATTATGCAGCACCATTTGGTTAGTGGGTAGGGAGCCAATAAAACTCGATGAAACTAAATCTCTCCCTCCTCCTCGTGTCTGATGAGAATCACTGTAGCGCAGATTTTACCTGAGAAGACACAGCCCCAAACTGAAGGCACCAGACCGGATTTAGTGCAAACAGAGGAAGACAATAGACCTTTTATGTGGTGTACAGAAAATCACTGTACAGAAAATCACTGTAAAGAAACTGTAGTCATTGAGCTGCAAGATTAAGTGCAGCGGGACTGACAATGACGTTTAAACGGAAAATATTTTTATGAGGTAATACGGTGTGTTTTTGTTCTTGTTGAAATAACCTCAAAATTTCACACAATGTAAAAAACGTTTATCACCGTGGTTACGCTCTAAACATAACGCGCGATAGGTGAAATCTGCGAAGTAATCAACTTTATATTTTACAATTTTTATATCTGTTTTAAGTCTGTAAAACCCTTCAGCACAAACTTTATACACTTTTCTCAGACAGGACAGTTACAAACCTTTTTACATCCTTCTTAAAACTTATCGCTGCTGTCATCCTTTTGTTATTTTCCTCCTTCTTTATGTAACAAACCGAAGATTAATTTATTCGCGCAGAGTCCTGCACGGGTCCATTTTTGAAGGGCCACACCTGCGCATTACAGGACCGCACCCGCCCGCACCTGCCCACACCCGCCCTGTAACCTGACATTATATCAAACTTTTGAACTGCGCACACCACGGACTGAACCAAGACTAAACCAGGACTAACCCGGGACTAATTCCAGGACTAAAGAGGAGTACTGAACCAGGACTGAACCAGGATTAAACAGGAGTAAAACATGAGTAAACCAGGTCTAAACCAGAACTAAAACAGGACTGAACCAGGACTAAACCAAGCCTAAACCAGGATTGAACCAGGACTGAACCAGGATTAAACAGGAGTAAAACAGGAGTAAACCAGGTCTAAACCAGGACTAAAACAGGACTGAACCAGGATTAAACCAAGACTAAACCAGGACTGAACCAGGACTAAACCAGGTCTAAACCAGGACTAAAACAGAACTGAACCAGGACTGAACCAGGACTAAACCAGAACTGAACTAGGACTAAAACAGGACTAAACCAGGACTAAACCAGAACTAAACCAGGACTCACTGTCAGGATGGGCTCGGAGGTGACCGCAGGAGAAAGGACCAGCTCAGAGCTCCGGCACCTCACGATAAACCCGGCCGTCGCCCGATCGCGCTGCACTTCAGAATCACACTTCTAGAAATCGAACATTTATGTGAATTCGGCAGCTGAACACATTCTGTACTGTACAGGAGACACGGCACGGAGGAGATTGATTGACAGTGGTCTACAGCCAATCAGGACTCAGGGGGGGAACACAATACGCACTCATATGCTGTAAAAAAAACAAACAAGAAAAACAAGAAACACTGTACTAAAAAAATCCGTGAAACAGCGAGACCACGAAAGATGAACCACGATATAGCGAGGGACGACTGTATAAAAAAGCCATACTGTGGAACATTCTAGGCAAAGTGTTTTCTTAACGTAAGTCTTCATCTAAATGTTTCTTTCTGAACTTTTGCTTTTTTTCTTCCAGACCCCACTGAAGCTCCGCCCCCTCCAAACAAACAACCACTGATCCAGGAAGAGACCTGCCCTGACACCTGTCAATCACAGGACGCCTTCAGCCAATCCGTGGGCGGTTTGTCCGAGGTCCCGCCCTCCTTGTTCTCAAAGAGCTGCCGCTGTCCGAGCTCCGAGCAGAAAACAGGCGAGGACTCTTCACTTCAGGAAACTTTTCATGGACTCCGTAAACTGATCTGACCATGTTAATGTTTGTTTATCGCAGGTTTGACTCTGAGGGGCTTCCTGCTCTTCATCTTCACACTCTTCATCACGGCGGCTCTGTACTCAGGGTAATCACACATCCGCACACTCACAAGAAGAAGAGCCATAGTTCTCGGTCGTTTGTGTAGATCTGGACGAGCAGCAGCCAAATGAAGATACTGACTTCAGGATCATTCATAAAATAATATCTAGCAGTTCATGATTTTCTCACAACAACACAATATTCTGTCATATTTAATACACGGAGGGGTAAATTTGTGTTGTAATACAGTGAGGAATGTTAGTACACAGTTGTGCTCTAAAGTTTCTGGTGGTGGGTTGTTTACTGAAGATGATTACACAATATTACACAGATCAGAGGTGAACTTTTTTCACCATGAGCCACATTTTGAAACATTTGAAATGCAGAACCAAAGGCCAGTGGTCAATACAATGATTCATTAGGAGCATTTTGCAATTTTGTCAGAGCTGTGATTAATAAAACTTGAAACATTAAGGACTTAGGTCTGTATCTGAATGCAGTGTGGTGACATTGAGTTCATAGTCGTACAATAACTTAAATTTTCTGTACACACTCTATGATCAACTCGGTCGTCTTATGGATCGCAACAGTGACCACCCACCCCCAGGTCCAGAAGTAAATTTTCCATTAATTTTTCTTATAGAATAAAAAAAAAAACTACTTAACAATGTTTTTATTTTGTTTTTGTACATTATCAAAGCATAATTACAATCTATTCGCCAGTCCTGTACATGAAAACAAATAAAAAACAAAAACAAGTACAGTTAGAAAATTAAGTTATAGCCATCCATGCATTTTTTATTTTTTTTTTTTTTCCCCCAAACCTAAACATAAGTAAATTCCCTACAAAACTTTTAAGAAGACCCCACACCTTGTCAAGCTGTTTCAACTTTCCTTTCCTAATGTTTCCAAGGTAAAAACTATAAGCATCTGTTTTACCCAGTACACCAACTTGGGCTTACAAGTTTTTTTTCCAAAATGTTCCAGTTGTTCTTTTTGCTTGGAAAAAACCCACGTGCTTTTTGAGATATATATTTAAAATAAACATAGTAGGATTTGTTGGTATATTCTTTGAGATAATCATCTTTACCACTTCTCTAAAAGAGTCCCATCTCAGGGCATTGCAATTGAAAACAGACTGATATTATTGAGCGTGTAGCTGGTTAGCCTCTGCAGTGACTTTGAATTCTTAATATTTGACATTTTTCTCAAATCGATTGGAAAAATGAATAGAAAGCTCCATTAATAGCTGCTGTTTTGTTGCTCATGTTGTTGTTTTTGTGTGTGCGTCAGGTGTCTGTGGTGGAGCTCGGCGGTGACCTCGGCTCTCTTCCTCACAGTCTCCACATTCATGAGTGAGTTTCATATAAATATAAAGTACAGAAAATATATCAGTTATATTGATACCGAAGGTCATGTGCGTAAACAGCAGAATGCACTTGTCTTCATCAGCGTAACCAGCAGACAGACTGTAGTACGTTTCACTTTTTCACTGATTCTGGTGAAATGAATCGCCTGTAGTTTGTGCGGATCGTTCTGACTGTTCTTAGACGTCTATAGAGTCATTTATTAAACAGATAAATGTTGACAGTTTTAAACCACCGTGTGAGCTGAACTTTGTTGTTGTGCTTGTGTTTTTCAGTCGTGACAAAGTCTGGTCCCATGGGCGAGTGGAGGAAGGCCAAGACTGAGGTACAGCTCTTACACTGTCACCTTTCTCTCTCCAGTTCACTGCACATGATGTATTTGGAATTAAAGGACTACACCAGGATCTAAACCATGACCTGAACCAAGATTAAACTAGGATTAAACGAGGACTAAATCAAGTCTAGACCAGGACTAAATCAGGATTAAATTAGGACAAAATCAGGTCTAAATCAGGACCAAAAAAGTACTAAATCAGATCTAGACCAGGACTAAACCAGGACTAGACTAAACTAAATAAGGTCTACACCAAGACCAAACCAGGACTAAATCAGGTCTAGACAAGGACTAAACAAAAATTAATAAGGTCTACACCAGGACTAAACAAGGATCAAATCAGGTCTAGACCAAGACTAAACAAGGACTAAACTAGGACTAAATCAGGTCTAGACAGGACTAAACCAGGACTACACCAGGATTAAACTAAAACTCGATCAGGTCTAAACCAGGACTAAACTAAAACTAAATAAGGTCTACACCAGGACCATACTAAAACTAAACTAGGACTAAATCAGGTGTAGACCAGGACTAAACCAGGATTAAACTAGGACCAAATCAGGTCTAACCCCGGACTAAACTAAAACTAAGGTCTATACCAGAACCAAACCAGGACTAAATCAGGTCTAGACCAGGACTAACCAGGAATAAACCAGGTCTAAACCAGGACTAAACAAACAAACAAAAAAAAAAGGTCTACAACAGGACCAAACCAGGACTAAACCAGGATTAAACTAGGACTAAATCAGGTGTAAACCAGGACTAAACAAAAACTAAATAAGGTCTACACCAGGACTAAACCAGACAATCTCAGGATTTAACTCTTAAAACTTTGCTAAACCCTCAATCAGCCTTGATTTTTAGTCTTAGATTAAACCTCATTTGTAGCCTATTAATTGAGTTCTTGTTTAGTTATGGTTAAATGTTGATCTCGTCCTGGTTTAGTCCTGGTTTAGTCCTGGTTTAGTCCAAAAATTCGTCACTAGTTGACGTAACCCTGGCCTTACTCAGTCCACGTGTACGATGTCCCTCTGAGGACCGTGTCTAACTCGGTCGTCTTTTCTTTACAGGACATCACCTCAAGGAACGAGTAAAGGGTGAGACGAGTCCACTCCAAAGTCCACGTCCTCCTGTCCTCTCCCAACGTCCACTTTGAGACGACCCTGATACATGTCCACGTGTCTGTCCACTCCAAAATGTCCACATCCTCCGGTCGTCCTCTCCAAATGTGAATGAGAAATGAGAAGATTTGTAAGACGATGTGGAGGACCCGGCTCAACCCTTCGGTGCCAAACGGAGGACGCAGTTTGGACTCTGAAACTGGACTAGATTTAAAGGTTGTATAGAGGATTTACCAAGGAACGAGGAATACAGCTCCCTAAGCAGAAACGCCTCCTCCCGCCTCGTCCTTACGCCAGAAATCGTGCTCGTTTACGACCGGCGCGCTTTCAGAATCTCAGAACGAATCGCTCTTGAAGTGACCTTTCCAGTCATCATTTAGGAACCAAAGCGTCAGTCTTTAGACCCATCGTCTGCTTCAGTCGCGCCGTCGCTGGAAGGAATCGCCCAGAATCACCTTAGGTTGTCTTCGCTCCTTTTCCCCTTCTCTTCTTCTTTCAGTGACCTCAAAAACGGACTTTCTTTTTCATCTGCCATCGTAACAAACTTTGCGCGACAGTTCGAAAAAGCCGCTAAGGACCGCTGCGTTGGTCGAGTAAAAAGCGTCTTGCGTACTGTATTTTCGGGACTATAATTCATTCCGGAGTATAAGTCACACCAGCCAAAAAAAACATATACAAGTCGCACTGTTTGGGGTTAATTTAGTTCGAAAAATACAGTATGTGGAATGCACGAGAGACGGTTGATGTTTATTTGGCCCCAACACGTCCACGGTTGGATTTTCATTCTTTTTTTTTTGGTCGTCATAATCACAAGGCTGCTGCGTCTATATAAAGCTATTTTGAACTTAAAAATCCTCCATACAACCTTTAAATGTCTCACTCTATTTGATAATATTCAGGTCAGTGTAGGATCCCTGCTTTACTTTTTTGACCCAGACCTGTCGCTACAGTTTTGATCGTACGTTTGTGTTTATCGAGGCAGCTGATCGACGAGGTGGAGGTGATTTCCGTAGCAGCCTTAGACTCGTGTTACAAAATGATCATGTGGCTTTTTAGTTAGGTCCATCAGGGAACCTAGAACCAAGCTTTTAAGAACAGAATCATATCTTTATCTTTGTGACTTTGTGGATTTTTTATACCTGAAAATAATGGATGTTAGTGATGGGCGATACCAGTGACTTTTGTTTCAATACAATACAAAATAATACTATGACAAATATTTCAATATCGATCCAGTGCTGATACCGATGAGTTTGAATCTTTTATATTACTACAAGGGGTGGGACGAGATGCAATTTTCACAAGACGAGAAGCACCACAAGATTTGATCCACAAGAACAAGACAAGATGAGATTTTGACATTATTTGTATTAAACAAGCAACACTTTAGTCCAGCTCAGTTTTTTTTTGTCATCAAAAAAATAAAATAAAATAATCTAGGTCATTTTGTTTCGTTCACAATCATTTTGAGCCCCTCTCCAGAGCGAAAAATACTTGACACCACTGTATGATGTCATCAGGTGGTAATCGTTATTACATTTTTTGGACACTGAGGAGTGCTTCAAATTGGGCCAAAAACGATATTTGTGCACCATTACAAGGTGTTTACTGTTTAGTCAGTTGAACACTGAAATTATCACCTTTTATTTAAAACCTGAATATTGAAATATTGATCTATTCATTCAAGGAACATCTGTGTCTCTGTTGTTTGTCTTTTCAACATGTAACTCTCGAACTGCTCATCTGACTGACCCCCACGGGGAAGTGTAGCCAGCAACAACTTCTGAAGTTATCGGCTATTTTCTTCCATCCCACGATGCGAGGCCTCTTTTTGGAGCCATTGGGTCCTTAAGACTCACTGTCCAGCTCACTGTTCAGCTTTATCTCGACTGACCTCAAGAGCAAGAGCCTCAAGGGCAAGGGGAGAGAGAGCTTTGAAGGCAACCTGCTCTCCTACAGAGAGCAAGAGAGCTGTGGCTCCCCTGCAAAACTGACCAAGGCGGTGAAGGTTGCCTCAATCTTCACCTCAACCTGCTTTGCAACCGCTTTGGTCAGTTTTGCAAGAGAGCTACAGCTGCTTTTCCTCAAGCCAGATGCTCTGAAGTCTCATATGCTCCTTTTCTAATGACTGCCACCTGTCCAGTATATTCCGCATTTTTCTATCGCACACGTCCATGTTGTTGTCCATGTTGTTGTCGTCCTTGGATTATTCAGGGTGATTGATGTGAAATAACCTCCTAGTTACACCAAAGCACAACAGTGTGTAAGCGCAGCAGCACAGCACACGAGCAAAACACACTCAGGTTTGGCTTTCCATTTTAACCGTTCAGACAATCTACACCAGCAGTGTCATACGCGAGTCTAATAACTATCATCATGACTTTGTTTAAGAGTTACGCATGGAACAGACAAACAGAGACACAGACAGATGTTCCTTGAATTAATAGATAAGTAGTGCAATTCATTTCAGAATTTTGAATATTCGTATTTATTTTATGTAATACTTTAGCGGCCGCTGTAGTACTGTTTTTTTTTTTGTTTTTTGTTTTTTGTTTTTTTTTGGAAATACATCTTCTCAAATTGTACTCAAAAGCTCTTGATTCAGTTTTTCCAAGCCGAAGGTAAATTCAGGGGGAAAAAAATCTCACAAAATCATTTTTCTCGTGCGTGTCTAATCTTGTGGCAATTTTGTCTTGCGAGATCTTTCGGCAAATATAAAATATGGCATAAAAAGGCCAGTACAATTTGTTTACAATTTTTCAATATTAATATTTTTCAATACCTCAGTTAGTATTGATATTCTGGTATCGATCCTCCCATCACTAATGAACATGGTTTAGTTCTTGTATCGAGACTGTGCATGGTAATACAAGACGGACATGTAAATAGGCTATGCTGGATTTTAGCCTATCCATGGGTTTCGACGATGTGGAAATGTGACTGTTGCCATAGCAATAACTTTGAATTTATAAAAGCAAAATAAAATGCGTCTTTTAAATTATATAGAAGTCCTCAAAATGGAGTCACAACAGAAACCCATCAATAGGGCAGAATCCCGTCCGCCGTACTCAGGTGGGTGAAGTGTCTTGCTCAAGTACAAGCGGTGGCTCAGACGGTCGAGTGTTTGACCTGTGACTGGAAGGTTTGTGCTTGTAAAAACCCACTCTAACCAGTTCTGTTGTTGGGTTTAAGATGAATCGTGTACTAAACAGTGTCGTGGCTGGAGTGTGGAGAGATTGTGGTGTCGGTGTTGTGATTATGTTGTGTCAAAATGAGCTCAGACCAAACCAGCGTGTGTTTGAATCATGTACCGTATTTTCCGCACCATAGAGCGCACTCAAAAGCCTCCAACGCCATCAAAAAACTACTGAGCGCCCCATAAGCCAGAGCGCCCTATACACAAATCCACTCAGGTGTCCCAGCATGACTTCAGTAAACTACAAAGCCACACCACCCGCAGCGCACGCAAACACACACGGAGCAGACAGCGACCGTGTAGCGAAAAACATGTCTGTCCACTCCAAAATGTCCACATCCTCCTGTCCTCCTCTCCAAATGCGAATGAGAAATGAGAAGGTTTGTAAGGCGATGTGGAGGACTTGGCTCAACCCTTCAGTGCCAAACGGAGGACGCTGTTTGGACTCTGAAACCGGACTAGATTTAAAAGTTGTATAGAAGATTTACCAAGGAAAGAGAAATACAGCTCCATAAGTTGAAACGCCTCCTCCCGCCTCGTCCTTACGCCAGAAATCGTGCTTCTTTACAGCCGGCGCGCTTTCAGAATCGCAGAAAGAATCGCTCCTGAAGTGACCTGTCCAGAAGTAATTTAGGAACCAACGCGTTAGACTTTAGATCCTCCATCGCTGTGTTTGATTCATGTACCGTATTTTCCGGGCTATAGGGCGCACTCAAAAGCCTCCAACCCCATCAAAAAACGATTGCGTGCCCCGCAATCCAGAGCGCCCTATACACGAATCCGCTCGGGTGTCCCAGCACGACTTCAGTAAACTACAAAACCGCATCACCCGCAGAACACGCAAACACACACGGAGCAGACAGCGACCGCACAGCGACAAACACCCACAGACACACTCATCACTCCACGCCGACGAGGAACGGAACGGAGGAACGAACCGAAAAAAGCGAGCGCAACGTGCCGCTTCTAGACGCGACTGAACAACCGAGTCACTGCGAACACGCCGACAATCCGTTGGTCCCAGACAGCACCCTCCCTACACGCCACAACTGAACAAAGCCCAGAGTCACTGTGAACGCCACAAACAAACAAAACCACTCACCCATCACACTGTTGTGTTTTGTTTAAAGTCCGGGGTGGTTTATTTGTGAAAAAAAGTTTGAAAATAGACCATTTAATGATAATCCAGAGCGCCTAATAGTGCGGAAAATACGGTATTTTATAATCTCATGGACAGAGCTGGATAAAGACCGCCTGCTCCTCCTGTAGGGGGCGCTGCAGAGGAATTTATTATTATTGTATTACCGCATTTATATTATAGTATGTTAATAATACTTCAGATGTTTTGCTATTGTGACCAATGTACTGTATTACTGAGATTATGGGGCTGTTGTTTCATTAAAAAGAAAAGTCTGATCTGACACAAACTGATAATGAAATAGAAATTAAAGCTATATCAAAGTATTCTCATAATAATGTGAGCGACTGTATTTTACATTATATTATATTTGTAATAACTTATTAATTTTTGCACTGAAACTTTTTAATGAAGCAAAATGTAAACCGCAGACGTATAGGACGCAGTGAGGTAAACAGAGGAGCCCGCATTTCAAAGTGATCCGAGCCCTCACAGCTGTCGGGGGTTTGTACTCTGTGTTCATGACGTGTGCTTTTGTATCGATTGGGGCACTTCCTGTGGCTCACGTGAGTTCTACTAACACGACGTGCATGTGATCAACTCTCAATAAATAAACTTTATACATAAACTCTTCGTGTCTGTTTTTTTACAAGCAGGAAATATATTAGGGCCCAGTCAAGCAGAAGTAAACAACAAGGCCAAAAATTCAAGTTAATGCATCTGATATAAAAATGTATTGAACAGATACATATGTACTCTAGTTTATGAAACTGTTGACCTTTTTTCTGTACCATTTTTGGTTCTAAAGTTACATATGTTTTAAACAGACCATGTATGAAACATGGAACAAAAATTATTTCCCAAATTTCAAAGACCTGAAAATGATGTAAATAAATGGATTTCATCATATCTTGTGTTATTCCATCTTTAAACTGTTGATGAAGGTACATGATTTTTTTTTTTTTTTATGTATTTAAAATGATACAAAATTTGCTTAGAAGGACTGACATATTTTATAGAAATAGTTTCCTTTCATTTTGAAGTAATATTAAAGTATTCGGAAGAAAAAAGTTGACAAATTATGCAAAATCCTGCAACTTCTACTTGCTTGAACAATTTTCCCTCTGTTACTTTTCCCTCCGTTACCATGACCTTTCTTAATAAAAAATCTCATGACTCAAAAAGTAAGAGGTTTTTCAACCTAATCTTGTACCATATGGTAGAAAACTATATGAAGCAAATATTCAAACCAGTTTGTTAAGGATATGTAAGTGAGAACCAAGAGTTATCACTGTTTGTATTTATTGCCCAAAAAGTGCTGCATGTTTCATTCCCTCCGTTACCGACATGAGTTTTTTAAATTTTTTGTCAACAACTTGAAAGAATATCGCAGGTTTAACTTTACCCTGTTGGAGTGTTAAGTAAGGTATCAAAATGTAGGAAAGTTATTTCAATAGTCCCTCTAGTTTCTGAATAAGCTATTTGAATGTAAAAAATCTGCCCGTTTCCCTCTGTTGCCACTTGACCGGACCCACATACAAGCTTCGAGAAGAGTTACATGAAAAGCAAAACATCTAGATTTTTATTGTAGGTTTCACGTTATCTGTATATATGTATGTGTAGCTGTTTCTTCTATTTTGTTATCTTGTATGTGAAGCGCTTTGGTCAGCTGAAGTTGTTTTAAATGTGCCATATAAATAAATAAAGTTGAACTTGAACTAGCTGATGTTGGCTTTGAGGGGCCTAACGGTGCTGAGGCCCCGGGGTTCAAACCTGGTTGAATTCTGGTTAAGTCTAAGCAACAACATTTATCATGACACCTGTTATAACTCATGCGGCAGCTCTCAGTCTGAAACCTTTCCCCGCAGTGACATCTAGAGGTGGTAATTGAAACATCCACACAAGCGCGAGGATTTAAATCACATCCCGTTTCAAACCATAGGGATAAAATTAAACAGACAAGGAAGTATGTTATTCTTTTATTTAAAAAATAGCCCAGCCTCTGTCTCTTTCTACTGTGAATTAAATCAGTTCATTGTTTCATGTTTTTTCCTCCATTTGAAAAACACACATGGTTCACGAAGGGCGTGTTAGCTCTTCAAGTTTTAGTCCTGACATAGACTCGGTTAGTCCACTTCTGGTCCAGTTTAGTCCTTGATTATGAGCACATACAAGATGGTACAGTTTAATGAGGCGCTGAAGAGAGTGTGGGACACAGGACAGAGTGCAGACGTCCCTTTTGTCCTGATAGGAGGATGGAGGAGACAGACCACAGAGGAGGAGGTGGAGGAGGGTTTGTCCACTAGAATCTTCAGAGCAGGATTCAGTAGTGTGTATGTGGGACAGACAGAGACGCCGTCCATGTGTTTCCCTGAAAGCTTATGTCCTGTTTGGCAGAGACAATGCTCCGCGTCGTCATAGAAAGTTAAAATACTTTCAATAAAAACTTCATATTTCACTTAAAAAAAACAGTACAAACAAAAATAAAATGTAATATAAAAAAGTCAAACATTTTTTTTGAACACTTGGTGATCACAAGGCTCTTTAAAACGGGAGAAGGAAGAAAAAAAACTGAGGGTCCGCTGCAACAAACGTGTGTCTACCAAAAACGGAACTCCATATGACACACGAACAGCTCTTATGACGTAGATCAGGGTCACTAAACTGGTGACAGGGTTTAGTCATTTCTCTGGAAACAGCCAAAGGAGAAGTGTGAGAGCTGAAGTCTGATCACTCTGTGCACTCGGGAGCACAGGTGAGCACCATACAAAACTTTGAGCATTTTCCACTCGAGCCATTATCCGATAAATTCGATTTGAGTCCACAGTATAGACCCTGACTAGACGTGGTGCAACTCTCCCATTTGGATCTGTTTTAGTCCTGACTGAGTCCTAGTTTGGGTGCCACCTCTTCATGTGCGTCTGCATGGTCCCCAGGGAGCTGAAGCCGCGCCCGCAGATAGGGCACGGGTGAGGCGGGTTGCCATGGATACTGAGGCCGTGGGACTTGAGGTGGCATGCCTGTGTGAACCTCTTCCCACACTCTTCACACTTGAAGGGTCTCTCCCCAGTGTGGATCCTCATGTGGGACTCCAGGGCCTGTGCGGTGGTCAGGACCTTCTGACAGATGGTGCACACGTAGCGCTTCACACCCAATCCTCTGCCCCTGCCCCTGCCTCTGGGTCTCACTGCTGACTTCTCCTCTGAGCTCTGCCCAAACCCTGGCATCATGTTATTGAAATCTAAAGTAGAGTTTTCTGACAGGTTCCCGCTCACACTGACGACCTTCAGCCCAAAGGCGTCACTGTTCTCCGGCTGGTAGCTCCCAAACGGACTGCTCCAGGCAGCGGGCACCTCCACCTTCTGAGCATGAGTCTGGGTGCCCACCACTGATGAAGAGCAGAAGATCGGTCCACAGATTGACGGTGGCTCCGACAGATGCTGCTCCACCACTTGGAGGTCCAAGTTTAACAGTTCACACTGCAAAAAAACAGGAAAAGAGGTTATACTAGTTATAACTGTACAATCCATTACTCTACTGGAGACACTGGACATCTGGATTTGTTGGATGGGCACTGCCTAAACTGCCACCTTGTGATGTCACAAGGTATAATAATACGTGTTTAGAGCTGTAGGATTACTCAAACATGCAAGAACAATCAGGAAGAAAAGGGAATAAACACTGAAACAAGGTTAAAAGCTCAAAAAGCAAATTTAGTGCAGGAGTCATTTTATACTTGACTTGTTTCATACCAACGGCAACAGCTGCCAGTGTGGAGTAGAAGACATTAGTATGAGAAAGAATCAGCTTCAAATTAGTTTTTTTTTGGTTAAAACATAATAAGTAATGCTTTAAACAGTTGAAACCAAGTTCATTTAAATGTGTTCATGACCAGCCACACTGAGTACATAGACAGATGAAACTCGTTAAAACAGCAAAATGACGTTAAGAATTACAACATGAAAATTAAATTGTTAAGACATAATTAACAAAAAACACAAACCAAATAATTTTGACTTCAAACTTTATTGTGTGTAAATATAGTTTACTTCACAGTGGCAGATAAAGTTTCTGTGCAAAAGCAAGAACACAATCAAGCGAGCGATGAACAATCTAATTCATGTCATTAACCCCTTCTGATTCAGGACTATAAAACATGTTTTTGTTTGCTCATTAACACTGTGTTCATATATTTTGATCATATTCCAGAACTGTTAAATGTATTGCAAAAACATTTAACCAGAGGAAAATAAAGCTAATACAGTGTAAATAACTCCAACCATAACAATGAACAAGTCGACCACTACTTATGCAGCCTGTTTTTCTGGCAAACATTCTCTCAAACGTGCTTAAGGGCATCAGTGCAGTGCGTCTTTAGCGGAAAAAGGTTATCATCTTGTATGGAAACTGGCGAAGCATCCAGGGCACAATGCCACAAGACACTGCATGCAGATGTACTTTGTTTTTCGTGTGCAGGCGGAGTCATGGCATCTGTTTGCATTTCTCACTTCAGTGAGCCTGGGCCAGTGCTCTCCAGGTCCAAACTTTACCTCAGGGGGCGGCCTGGCCACTGCTCTGCGCTTCAGAGGAGGAGGAGTGGCACTGGGTCTTCCTCGTCTTGGTGTCTGGATGGAAGTTACGTTAAGTTTTTGCAATACATTTAAAAGTTCATGATAGAATTAATATGCACAAAATATTACTGTAATAAAAATTAAATAGATTTTCAGCCAAAGCATTACTACAGATGGCATATTAAAAAGAAAAAAAAACACATTCATACTATAAATTGTTGTCTAAATATAGCTAGCGATGCATGATGTCCAATTGAGTGGACACGTGATTAATCACAATTTCCTCAAATCACAAAATCACTTGGAGATTTGATATTTTAACAATTATATCGCTCCTTTGTTCTTGCTTGATGTCCTCATATTTTTTGTTTACCTGCCCGGGTCTCCTAGAACAGACGGAATGGACAGACATTCCTTCCTGTGGGTCATCTGGTTTTAAAGGTTTTTGTTGCACTTACAAAAGTTGACCAGTGGGTGGCAGTGTATTGCATGACACATTAAGATGGATTTACAGTTCTGCATCAATTCAATGCCGTTGTTTTTGATTTATGAGGTTTATCGAGGCTGAGGTCTGTGCACCGCGAATTCACCGCCACAAGGCCTAGGGGACGAGGATTTAAAAAAGGCATTCATGTTTACAAAATGAAGCAGGAAAGAGGAGTACCGGATGGAGTTTGTATGTAGAGCAGATGTACAGAGGGCCAATCGCAGCTCTGTATCTCCTTCCCTTGCTGTCTGTGACGGTTTCGACATGTAGTTACAACATTTCAGAGGTGCATGTCGGTCGACGCAGACGATCTGCCGTGGGGGTTCACAGTTCACAACGCAAACGATTTGACGCAAAGACCATACATTTGTCTTTAGCGTCCACTGTACTGACTCATGTGCGACTGTGACATTCAAACTCATTTCCGTCCACTGTAGTGACCACTGTGCATGAAAGGGCTGAGACAGTTTGGGTCTGAGCTCACCTTGAACGTGGAGGTGTTCCCAGGCGCGCCGGAGCTGGAGCCCGCCTCAGGAGAAGGTGTCCTCACGGGGGCGCTGTGGTCCGCACTGGGCGTGGGAGCTCCTCTGCTGTCCACTCGCTGCATATCTGAGAGAATCAAACAAGTTATACCACTGTTCTTTGGGTCATGTCATGTTCTATGCAAATGTCCCTGTGTCTCCATGGGGTTTTATTCTGTCTAAAATCTGCTGACTCTGTAGTTCAGACCTTTACAAACATGTCCTGAAATGTCCCCCTGTGTCAGATGCTCTTTGTGTGAGGGTACGCGACACTTTACATCTCATTCCTTTGCCTGAAAAGTTTCACAGCATTAAACCCTCTATCTTGCATCAACTACATGAGTTTATGTTGTGAATAAAAACACATTCTTACTGTGATTCGGCTGCTCGTTTCTACAGACACAGAGAAATTTAAAGAAGTTTAAATTATGCTATTTTATGATATATGTTATGTTGTTTCCTCATCACAAACAAACCTGGAGTTGTGTTTTGTTTCACATGTTTAACACACAAACCCTTCATATTTAGGTAGACTTCTTCTCTCAAACAGAAAACACACTGTTCCACCTTGTGATGTCATGTGGTAATAAACTCCATGCACCTTTACTAGAATCATTTGGATAATTTCAGCCCTGGAATTGCAAAACTCTACTGAAATGAGGTTTTTAATCTGAAAACTACCACTACATGACAGATAATGACAGATTTTTAAATAAATAATAATACAGGAATACTCAAACATGCGTAAATAAAACAAAACGTGATCTTGATGTGGACACAAAATCACAACACGGCGTAAATCCATGTTGTGTAATACAGGCTCTTTAATGCCAGACAAAATCTCCAGCCTCCAGGCAAAGCAATAACATCCCCATGGAGCCGAGCATCTGTCCCTCCACCAGAGAAGTCACACTGTGCTCCTTTAAACGTTTTCTTTCATAAATCCCAGTGTGAAACATACAGCAATTATACATTTGATTCAACTGGCTGTGTTATCCTTCAGGCTGTACCCAGTTCCATCAGCTCCACACTCACCTTCTTCCACTGCACCTCCACAGCTCGGCTCTTCATGTTTGATCTCCACCTCCTCCTGAAAAAAATAAAGACGCAGCATCAGCAATAGTTACGTCATTTCAAAGTAATGTTTTTTCAAATCCAACTCTCTCCAAGTCTCTAAATATCATGAAAACAAAAGCAATGTTCTTTGGAAACTGTGACATAAATCCACATATGCAAATTAAAATTGATAATCATGTCATGAGTCAGTGCTAGTGCAGCCTCTGCAGCTCAGGGAGGGAATTCTGGAGGTTCTGAGTTTCACATGAGGTCTGTCCATAAACTGAGACTGAGACAAACTTGGATGTGTCTCTATCTGCAGGTTAAAAGGTCCTACATTCCACAAAATTGACTTAAACCATGTTATAATGTTTCTTCCTCAAAGTTGAATTGACTGAATTTTCAACCCCGCTCCCGCCCGCAATTCCCGCAGGATGGGGACGTTCACTTTCTTAAGCTCTATCAAACACGAAGAAGTGGAAAGGAATTGTCTAAAATGTGAGCGAGATTAGACCACATCTGCAAATTTAGGCTGCTTAAAATGTTTTTATTAAGGCCAAATAAAATATCCAGCACAAATTATGTATGATAGAAACATTTATCATTTGTATATTTTACTTTACACTCATATTTTGTTTGTGGGACTGCAGTTTATCATCCCACTCGCCCTGTTTTGTGTCGGGTCCCGTGCAAGGCTCTACCTGGAGTTTTGTTTTGACTCATTCGCACACGTTTGAGTAACTCTTTATTATTAGTCTGTTTACATCTCCAAAGCTCAAAACACCTTGTGAAGTCAAGTTAACAGCTACTTTTTACCTTTTGCAGTAGAGATTGACTAGTCAGGCTGGGGCCACCTAGTGCCTCCGCTCAATTTCATTTCTCTTCAGTGACTAGGTCAGGAATCAGAATACACTAGATAATTTACAAGAACCCCAGAAGTTGTAGACTACACAACGGCCAATCAGTGAAGAGCTGTGAAGCCATGACATCAAACTCAAGCGTCTGTCTGTGTCCCTTTTGTGGAACAGCACAACAGTAAACAAAGCGTCGAGATGAATGTAGACAAAGACAGACATTCTGTGTTGGCGACGATTCCCCGAGATTGAGGATTTAAAGCCGGAACAAAGAGAATGTTGGTGAATTTTATCAAGGGGAAAGACGTTATTACCCTTCTTCCTACGGGATTTGGCGCATTACATACGTCACGATCAAATAGCAGCGACTGATTAAATTTTAAAAAGTACCAGGCTACAGTCGGGAGAGCAAATCCTAATGCTGTGAGGTCAGACGGTTTCCACAAAGTGAAACCAGCTGATGAATCAGGCTAGAGATTGGCAGTTCCAGGGCTGAAATTATCCAAATGATTGCAGTGCAGGCTTTTTTTTTAGTTTAAAAACACAGTGGGGCACTTCCTGTATTACCACATGACATCACAACATGGAAAAGTGTTCAGTTTGAGAGCAGGAACAACATTATAACAGATCAGAAAACGGCGTAATACAGACCCTTAAGGCACTGGTTCAGTTGTGATTGTAGAAACTTTTTTAAACTGTACTCTGTCTTTAAACTGCTTTTAAACTATGACAAATCTTGACTACAGGTGCTACAAACCAAGTCAGAATAAGAAAAATCTATGAATCTGTCAGATGCTCTTTAATTACACTGGCACAGACTTGTATTTGCGGTCCTGCTTTATAGATTGGACTTGTTTGTCTCGTCTTTTTCAGAGGCTTGGTCACTTGTTCCTCTCTGAAAATCTGCCAAACCTGCTCTGGACTCTGGATCTCACCTGCTCCGGCGCCTTCACCACCTGCGGCTCCTCTGCACCCGCACCTCCAGCTGGTCCCTGCTCCTGCTGACAGAGATGAGTACCGGGACTCAGGTCAGTGTCATTTCTAAATATTGTTCAAGTAGTGGTTTAATAAATTACTCAAAGTGAAAATAAAGACATATTTGAGGAAACTAATACCCAAGTAAGAGTATTTGTAAGAGCAACTTTCTGGATGTAGCAATTTATTTATAATTTAAAGTGAATATAATTAGAATACAACATTTAATTTTGTCTTTCTATGGAAGAAAGAAGGAAGAAGTAATAATGTGCAACAGTCAAATATGAATCATCTCCTGTAAAACACATAGAAGTCACTTAAACAGCTGTATCCTGACCCACTTATTGCAGATTGTGTCACATTTGTAAATGGTTTTAAGTCAGTTTCTAGTTTCCTGCTGTTCTTGTTCTTTACATTGCACCTATAGACTCTAAACAGAACAAATGAACACAATTAACGTGTTAGACTTTGGCATTAATTGACTTAGTACTGAAAAAAATGTTGCCCCTCACTCTGAAACTTCTGCTGTTAGGCTCCTAATAATAATAATAATAATAATATTAATAATAATAATAAACAATAGGGGGAAAAAAATGATTCAGTTGTTTCTGTTGTACAACATTCAGCACAAAAATCATTACATTTGAAGCTTTAGTACATATGGAAGCCCATTTTCGCCAGTAAATAAAAAATAAAAGCCTCACAGAAGTTGTAATTATGACTTTGAAACTCATAATTATGAGTTTTAAAGTTGAGTCTGAATCAAAGCAAAGTGTCCATCTATGTTCCTCTGTCCATGGAGCTGGTTTAGTCCAAGCGGGGGATGAAGCACTTTTGACTCTGCAGTGCACCCTGGCCCTGGCCGGGAGCTGATGAGCTGTGCAGGGCACTGGGCACAGGCTACATCAAGTTGCTCAGTGATGAAGATATGGGCACATAGCAAATAATTTAGAGCGTGAAATGAGTTAGTGAAATAACTACACATTTTTCCTTGTAGTGTGTTGATACATGGCTTCTCCAGGAAAATGGTCACACCAGCGTGTGATTAGTTTCTTGCATGGTGAGAGCAGAGAGCAGGTTCAGAGTCACATCCAAAAACTCCTAATTATAAGTTTAAAACTTGTAATTATGACTTTAAAACACATAATTATGAGTTTAAAACTCATAATTATGACTTTCTGTGAGGCTTTTATTTTTTATTCACTGTGGAAATGGGCTTCCATAATTAGATCTCAAACTTATGCCAAACTTTTTATTTTTTAAGTACATTTTAAAACTTAAGCATATTTTTTCATGTGACACTTTTACTTGAGAATCTGTACTTAAAATATATATATATATAAATATATATTAGGTTGCATTTTCTCAAATAAATACTTTTTTTTTGTTTAAGCAAACAGTTAAGAAAAAAAAATGTTTTATTTATTTATGTTACTGTTTATGTACTTCCATCCCACAAAATCACTACATTTGAAGCTTTATTACATCTCAAAATCTGCATGAAATACTTTTACTTTTTACTTTTTAAACGACTACTTTAATACTTTTACTTAGAGCAGATGTTTTCCTGTGATACTTTTACTTCAGTATTTTATTTATGTACTTATTTTTGCTCTGGAATCTGTACTTTTCCTTAAGTAACAAAGAGTACTTCCACCTGTGTGTGCGGCTCCCCGGGCTTGTGCTGCTGCTGCGCCCCGGGCCCCGCTGCTCCTCCTCCGCCGCCGCCGCCCGCCTCCAGCGCCCTCTCCTCGGCGGGCCCGTCTCCACCTCCTCCCCCGGCGCTGTGGACCACGATGGACTGGATGAGGTGCAGTTTTTTCCGGAGCTCGTCGTTGTCCCGGCGCTGGCGGAGCAGCTCTGCGTGCAGCGCGGAGAAGCCCTGGTCCACGGCGGCGCACATCTGGGTCAGCGCGGCCCGGGACAGCGTGGACATGATGGCGGACAGCTGCTCGTGGATGGCGCGGGTGTTCAGGGACATTTTTTGCGGGGACGGACCGGAGCCGAAGAACCGGGGGAAGGGTGATGCAGACGCGGGCTGAGAGGCGGAGAAGACGCGCCGTGGGAAACAACTGAAGGAGGAAGTGTTTGTTTTTTTTGTTTAGGACTGGTGACTTCCGGTAGCGCGCTTTCAAAATAAAAGCCTCCATGTGTGAGTCACGTGACAAAAACAAACCCGTACGACATTCAACAGGACTTTTCTCATTTTTATTTTACAGTAACTGCTCTTTCTTTCTTTTCTTTTTTTTTTTTATTTATTTCTATTTTACGTATTTAATTAGGTTTGTGGGAAGATAAGTATTCAACCCAGCGTTTGGGCAAAAACAATTTTATTTATTTATTTATTTATTTGTTTTTGTTTGTGTGTGTGTTTATTTTCATTTCTATTATGATTTCACTTATGCTATATGTTCCATTGTATAAGAATGTAAATCTTTGCTTGCCCAAAATAAATACATAAAATAAAAAATTAAAAGATAAAAAGCCTCCATGTGTGAGTCACGTGACAAAAACAAACCCGTACGACATTCAACAGAACTTTTCTCATTTTAATTTTTCAGTAACTGCTCTTTCTTTCTTTCTTTTCTTTTTTTATTTCTATTTTACGTATTTAATTAGGTTTGTGGTATTTGTATTACTTTAATCGAACATAAGTATTCAACCCAACGTTTGGACAAAAACATGTTTATTTATTTATTTATTTTGTTGTGTTTATTTTCATTTCTATTATGATTTCACTTATGCTATATGTTCCATTGTATAAGAATGTAAATCTTTGCTTGCCCTAAAATAAATACACCAAATAAAATTAAAAGATAAAAAGCCTCCATGTGTGAGTCACGTGACAAAAACCAAACCGTACGACATTCAACAGGACTTTTCTCATTTTTATTTTACAGTAACTGCTCTTTTCTTTTATTTTCTTTACTATTTTTTTCTACTTTACGTATTTAATTAGGTTTGTGGGATCTGTATTACTTTAATCGAAAATAAGTATTCAACCCAACGTTTGAGCAAAAACATTTTCTTTTTTTTTTTTTTTTCATTTCTATTATGATTTTACTTATGCTATATGTTCCATTGTATAAGAATGTAAATCTTTGCTTGCCCAAAATAAATACTTAAAATAAAATTAAAAGATAAAAAGCCTCCATGTGTGAGTCACGTGAAATAAACAAACCCGTACGACATTCAACAGGACTTTTCTCATTTTTTTATTTTACAGTAACTGCTATTTTCTTTCTTTTCTTTTTTCTTTTTTTACTTTTTTAATTTCTATTTTACGTATTTAATTAGGTTTGTGGTATTTGTCTTACTTTAATCGAAGATAAGTATTCAACCCAGCGTTTGGGCAAAAACAATTTCATTTATTTATTTATTGATTTTGTTGTGTTTATTTTCATTTCTATTATGATTTCACTTATGTTATATGTTCCATTGTATAAGAATGTAAATCTTTACTTGCCCAAAATAAATACATAAAATAAAATTTAAAATAAAATTAAATAAAAATAACGTATGTGCTAAATACATTTTAACATCTAACACAGCTAAACATTTACTTGTTTAGCCGCGCATATGACTGAAAAAGTTTTCATTCTGCACTCTTCTCTCTAATAAAAAAAATATAATAAAATAAAAAATAAAATTGTATTATTTTATGATGATTATTTATGTTTTGATTCGTTTTTATTGTGATTTTAATGTTTTTCTTATTCTGTAAAGCACTTTTTGAATTACTTTGTGTACAAATTGAGCTGTACAAATTGCCTTGCCTTCTAACACATTACTTTTGTTTTATTTAACTAAATTTGTATCGGTGTGTGTGTGGTCGGTATTTGTTGTGGGTGTCGCTCTATGTTTTTGTGTTTTGTTTTGTTTTATGTTGATTATTGTATTTTGTTAAATGTTATATTCTGTTGTCTTTAATAAATAAAAAAGGTCCTATATTACCAAAAAATAATAACAATAAAATGAATATATATAATTAAACTAAACAAACAAACTTCTGGACTGTTATGTTATTACCTCCAGAATCATGTTTTGTTTCCTTCACATATGTTTGAGTAATCTTTGTCAATCTGTCTACATCTCCACAACTGAAAATGCTCTGTTCCACCTTGTGATGTCACGATGTAATGGCTATCAAGTGAACAGCTGGCTACTTTTTACCTTTAGCTCAGTGGAGATTAGCGATTTCAAGGCTGAAGTTATGGAAATGATTCTTGTGAAAGTGTGTTGTGATTAAAAACACAGTGGAGCACTTCCTCTATTACGTAAGGTTTCATCCTACATATGAAGGGTTTGTGTGTTAAACATGGGTGAATGAAACAAAAAACACAACATAGACCAGAAAATAGAGCTTGAAAAATGTGCTATAAACATAAAAGCTCAAAATATTATATGTTAAATAAGGCAGACACTTCAATTTTTGCAAGTAAAATTCCTGCTCAATAACAATAGTAGAAAATTTAACTTTAACAGAGGCAATTTTCAAGTTTTCAGTATTTTCTCTGTTGAAATTTAATGAGGTGGACAAGCGCTGCCAGCCTGTCCTCAGTACATCGTCTAAAATGTGACATATTTCCACATTTATATTCAGTGTTTTGAGCTCTGGAGCGCGTGAATGTTTAAACTCTGCTTCTGGTGAGGAAACACTAACGCAGTGTGTAGCAGAATGGAAGACGTGCATGAAAAACAAATCTATTTAGACAAAAAAAAAGGGTTAAAATCTCTGCCTCTTTATTTACATTTAAATACAGCACCATCCAGAAAGGCAAACCTGAAGAGTCTGTGAGAGAGTGAGAGGACTGTGGTGTACGTTTACCAGATTACTTTCATAGTATTCCTCCTAATCCATCTACTACTCTGATTACTTTATTTCAAAAGTAATTGGTGTTTTTTTAATTTTTTTTTCAAAGTAACTAAACTAATAAAGAAACATACAACTCAGGAACAAATTTATAAAAAGCATGAAATGTAACAGGAAGTATGACACTAGTTACACTTCCTGTTTTTTAATCTGGTGTGAAATCCGGAGCAGCAGTGGCCACAATCCTGCATAAAACAGAGTTCTGTTTCAAATCTGATCTGAATCTGTCGCTGTTATTACCCGTTTATATTTTTTACTGTTTCATGACACAGTTCTACGATTATACAAAAGTTTGGCAGGGAAAAAGTAGCTAAAAGTTACTGGGATTAGTAACTGTAGTCTAGTTATTCAGTTTTATATTGTGACTACCGTATTTTCCGGGTCATTAGGGATCTTAAGCCTCTAACCGCACCAAAAAACGACCGCGTGCCCCGCAATCCAGAGCGCCCCATGCACGAATCCACTCGGGTGTCACAGCACAACTTCAGTAAACTACAAAGCCGCAAACACACACGGAGCAGACAGCGACCGCACAGCGAAAAACACCCACAGACACACTCATCGCTCCACGCCGACGAGGAACGGAACGGAGGAACGGAACGGAGGAACGAACCGAAAAAGCGAGTGCAATGTGCCACTTCTAGACACGACTGAACAACTGAGTCACTGCGAACACGCCGACAATCCGTTGGTCCCAGACAGCACCCTCCCTACACGCCACAACTGAACAAAGCCCAGAGTCACCGTGAACAAACAAAGTCCAACTGACCCATCCCATCCTTGTTTCGTTTAAAGTCCAGTGCGGTTTATTTGTGAAAAAAGTTTGAAATTGACCATTTAATGACAGTGCGCCTTATAATCCAGAGCGCCTAATAGCCCGGAAAATATGGTACTTTGTAACTAGTTACTGTCCACTGATGGGTAGATTGTGATAAAAAAAAAAAAAAAAAAAAAATTGTTTCAGATCATACGCAGAGACATTCAGACGGGCTTCACTGAGGCTTTATATTCTCCAGAGAATGGAAAATAAACTACACAGCATCAACTCTTCAACCCAAACATTCAGGATCGACTGTGGCCAGAGAACAGCTGTTTATGTTTTAGACACAAACCTTCAAATTACATTCAAACTAAGGCAGAAGAGAAATTCTGTCAACACCGAAAATCCCAAGAGGTTTTTTATGGAAAGGTTCCACACTTTCATAAAGTTTTACACAATCATTCACATTCTATAACATGTTTTTTTAACCAGAAAATAATATTTTCCTCTTAAGACACAAGCTTCTCAGGTAGGAGAAGGATGTTTGGTCGGTAATGTAGTTGCTACAGCTGGAGCCACTGCTCAGTCACACGGTTAAAGGAAAATGGTCACGATATTCTAAAAAACCTGCAGTTTAAGTTGAGTAGGAATTTTAAAAGGACATCTGTGGTACTGTTAAAGATCCAGATGCAGATGTGTGACCTGGTTCATGGTTCATATTTCTGTAATTATTGGACTTATCCACATGAAACATCAACTGTTCAATGTCTTTTGCCAGGATCAAAAGTTACCTGCCTCCATCTGAGTGAACGTAAAACCTGCTTAGTCCTGGTCTTCAGCTCCTGTGTCCAGTGTCCAGTGTCTGTCCTGGTCTTTAGCTCCAGGTCACGGCGCCTGTGGTTCATTGGGGTGATGCTTCTGCTGGTGTATCCTCAGGTTCTGTTTCCCGGCGAACCTCTTTCCGCAGAGCAGGCAGGCGAAGGGCCGGTGTCCGGTGTGCACGCTCTGGTGGGTCTTGAGGTGTCCGGACTGGGTGAAGCGTTTCCCGCACTGAGCGCATCCGAAGGGCCTCTCCCCCGTGTGCACCCTGATGTGAGTCTCCAGCCCCCGCGCCGACGAGAAGCCTTTACCGCAGTACGTACACACAAAGCGCCGCTCTCCGCTCAGCCGCACCACGTCCAACTGTGACGCGCTCAGGCCGATGAACGGAAACGCGTTCAAGTCCCGCTCCAGCCTCTGCACGGCGGGGACGCAGCGCACGCTCCGGTTGGTCCATGTGTCGCGCGGGGCCGTGTCGGTGGCTGCGGGGAGGTCAGGAGCGGGGTTTAGGGTGAAGGGTTTGTGGGCGCCCTCTGGGGTCAGGTCTATGACTGTGTGCACGGCGCCCCCTGGAGGAGAAGACTCCACAGATTCACAGTGTAGACCGGAGGGACCAGCAGCGCTCTCCTCTGACTCTGATGGAAAGAAACAAAGACATCTGTGCTCAGCCATAACCAGAAAATAAGGACATGTATGATTTAACCCATTTATGAAATTCTATTATTAAACCCAGTGTTTCCGCTGCTTTCATCGTGTGTACAACTCATTATATTTTATGCCGCAACTTCTTTAAAAGTTGTTGTACTGTCACTGGAGTCACTTCCTTATTTCTCTCCACTTTCTCCTTTCTTTCTCTCCACTTTCTCCCTTATTTCTCTCCACTTTCTCCTTTCGCTCTCTCTCTCTCTCTATTTTTTTCCCCTTTATTTCTCTCCCCTTTCTTCCTTTATTTCTCTCCATTTTTTCCCTTCTTTCTCTCCACTTTCTCTCCTTTCTCTCTTCTTTCTTTCCACTTTCTCCTTTATAGCTCTTTAGTTTCTCCTTTATTTCTCTGCACTTTCTTCCTTCCTTCCTTTCTTTCTTTCTTTCCACTTTCTCCCTTCTTTCTCTCCACTTTCTCCCATCTTTCTCGGTTCTTTCTCTCCAGTTTCTCCCTTATTTTTCTCCAGTTTCTCACTTCTTTCTCTCCAGTTTCATCTGCACTTTCTTTCCGAGTGGCCTTCTGTTCCTTTGTAATATTCAGGTGAGACATTTGTAGAGCCGGGGCAGAACTTCACTTCACTCGCTGATGTTCTTGCGTCTCCTGAGTTTCCTCACCTGTGTGGCTCGAGAGCGGCTGGTCTGGAGCTGCAGGACTGTCCCCCTCCTCCTCCGTGTCCTCCTCTTTGATCAGCACCACGTCTGCGCTGTCTGCCTCCTGCGTGTCCTCCGTCTCCTCCTTCCACTCTGTCCCCTGCGTCCCCTGCGTCTCCTCCTTCCACTCTGTCCTCTCTGTAGCCGTCAGCCTCTGTAACACGAGCGCACGCAGTCAAACACAACCAAACCTCAAACCGTTAGGGCATCTGAGAGAAAACGTCCCGCAGTCCCCCCTTTCTTCTCTCACCACGCTGAAGTGCAGGGTCCCCTCTGCTGCTCTGGGGCTGCACCCGTGGGTGGTGGTGTCTGGAGGGGACACAGCGGAGCCGCTCCTCTTCCCTTTGGCCCCTTGTTCTGGAGCGGTGAGGGCCTCTGCGTAAACACAACACCTCGATTATAACGATATTACATAAACGCACACGACACAAACTTGTCGTGTACATTTTACATCTCACTTTTGTCAAAAATTTCACTTCTGCGATGACAGAACAGGCTGAACTTTGTGACCATTTTTGTTTCATGTGGATAGGCCCAGTAATTACAGAGATATGAAACATAAACCAGGTCAACTCTAGAGCTGGGAATCATTCAGAAGTTGCCGATATGAAACATACCTCGATACACAAGCCATGATACGATACATAGGCCACGATACGATACATACCTCGATATACAGGCCACGATACGATACATACCTCGATATACAGGCCACGATACGATACATACCTCGATATACAGGCCACGATACGATACATACCTCGATATACAGGCCACGATACGATACATACCTCGATACATGGGCCATGATACAACACATACATATATACATACCACTTTTATTCTATGGATTTTAATACCACTTGAGTTGTGTGGTCCTCTGTGTCTTTTATTTATTTATTGTTTAAAGTAAAATGTTTTAAATTGCTATGTGAAGCACTTTGGAAACTGTTATGTTTATAAAATGTGCTATACAATGAAAGTTGAATTGGATACATAGGCCATGATACGTTATATACCTCGATACAGTGAGCTTTCGATTTGATACGATTCAATATGTTATATTTCAAATTGATTTGATATGGTTAAATAAAATCATAAAGGCCAAGTCACGGCTCTGATACTAAAAGTCTTTGTTAAACCATTTCTTGTGCAAAGTTCACATGAAACACAAACATTTTAATCATCAAAACAGTGAAAATGTCAAATGTGTCACATAAACAAGTTTCCTTCCTCTAAACCAGCAACAAAACTGTAGCTGTAACAAAATAATTTAGCAAATATACCAAAAAATACTCCTGGTGATACAGCAGTCCCTGAAATCGATACTGTATCATCACTTTACCCAATACGATATATCAATATTTCAATATTTTTGCACACCCCTAATCAACACATCTGCAATCTGACAAGTCAAACAAACTGTATGTAGCCTGTGCTCTTATAGTTATAAAAAGGTACTGCAGATAGACGACACTAGGGGTGTGCAAAAATATCGTAATATCGCTATATCGTATTGTTTAATGTGATGATACAGTATTGATATCGTGGGCTGCTGCATCAATATATCGCCAAGAATATTTTTTGGTATATTTTACTAAATTATTTTGTTACAGTGCTACAGTTTTGTTGCTTGTTCAGAGGAAGGAAACGTGTTTGTACAACACATTTGACATTTTCACGTTTTTTATGATTTTAAATGTTTGTGTTTCATATTCACTTAACTTTAACAAAAACTTTTAGTATCACAGCCTTGATTTGGCCTTTATTTTCAATTAACAGTATCGAATCAATTTGAAATATATCGTATTGAATCAAAAGCCCACTGTATCAAGATATGTATCGTATCATGGCCTATGTATCGAGGTATGTATCGTATCGGCATCTTATTATTGATACCCAGCCCTAGAGGACACACACATGTTTATGTACAGACCTCCTCTTCAGATTACTGCAGCCAATAACAAATTAAGGTTTAAAAAAGAAGTGAAGAACTATTTAATAGCCCTTTGCAATCAGTAATGAATTCTATTAAGAAATTATTTTTTTTATGATTTTAATCTTTGTGCAACTGTTTTGTTTCTAGGTGTTTTAGTTGTTGTTGTGTGTGCTGTGTTATATCTATGTGGACTCCAGGAAGAGTAGCTGGTGTCATGGACAACAGCTAATGGGGATCCGAATAAAATACAAAAAAATACAAAATAAAAATCAAATCAAATCAAAATAAAATAAATCAAATAACAAAATTTAAAAATCAAAATAAAATAAAAAAAATAAAATCTAAAAAATAAAAAAAATAAATCTAATAAAAATAAAAATAAATAAATACAATAAATAATAAATAAAATAAAAAATAAATAATTAAAAAATCTAATAAAATCAAATCATGTGAAAGCTCAAAACCTCTAGAATTCCCTCCCTGAGCTGCAGAGGCTGCACTAGCACTGATTCATGGTATTTTAGGTTTACACAACGTGGATTTTTATTTACTTTCCACGGACACTCACCGGTGCTCGGGTCCAGCCTCGGGTCCCCGCCGTCGCGCTCCTCTTCCCCGCCGTACACCAGCACGTGTCCCCGGTGTCCCCCGCGGGCCACGATGCTCTCGATCAGCTGCAGTTTGTTCCGGAGCGCCTCGTTCTCCCGGTGGCTGCGGCTGAGCTCCAGCTGCAGGGCGCCGTACTTCTCGTCCAGCAGCTCGCACATCTCCGCCACCGCCGCCATGATGGAGGCCAGCTGCGAGCGGAACTCCTCGTACCCGCTCATCCCGAGGACACCGGAGGCCCAAGAGCACCGCACCGGAGGGGGGGAGGACACGGCGGAGAGTCGGAGTCGGTCCCGGAGCTCGGGTGTGAGAGTTCTGGTCCTGTGGGTGTGTCTCTGGCGCACGGTCCACGGTCTCCGGACTGTCTCTTCCTCAGTGTCCCTGGCAACCACCGGAAGTCGGACCTTTTCACAATAAGATGCACTGTTTTTGTTTTTCATCTGTGTGAATAAAGATCATTGTGGGTGTCCTAAAGTGAAATTAATAACCAGGTAACAAACTAGGGAGACACAGAGGAGACACCTTAGTTAGGGAGACACAAAGGAGACACCATAGGGAGACAAAGAGGAGACACAGAGGAGACATCTTAGGGAGACACAGAGGAGACACAGAGGAGACACACAAGGAGACACAGAGGAGACACTTTAGGGAGGAGTACCAGAGGACACACCATAGGGAGACACCTTAAGGAGACACCATAGGGAGTTACAGAGGAGACACCTTAGTTAGGGAGACACAGAGGAGACACCATAGGGGGACACAGAGGAGAAACCACAGAGAGACAGAGGAGACACTGAAGAGACATCACAGGGAAACACAGAGGAGACACTGAGGAGACACCTTAGGGAGACACAGAGGAGACACCTTAGGGAGACACAAAGGAGACACCAAAGGGAGACACCACAGGGAGACACACGGGAGACACCTTAGGGAGACACAAAGGAGACAGCAAAGGGAGACACAGAGGAGACACCTTAGGGAGACACAGAGGAGACACTGAGGAGACACAGAGGAGACACTTTAGGGAGGAGTACCAGAGGAGACACCATAGGGAGACACCTTAAGGAGACACCATAGGAAGTTACAGAGGAGAAACCACAGAGGAGACACCACAGGGAGACACAGAGGGAGACACAGAGGAGACACACGGGAGACACCTTAGGGAGACACAAAGGAGACAGCAAAGGGAGACACAGAGGAGACACAGAGGGAGACACAGAGGAGACACAAAGGAGACACCTTAGAGAGACACACAGGAGACACAGAGGAGACACCTTAAGGAGACACCTTAAGGAGACACAGAGGAGACACCTTAGGGAGACAGAGAGGAGACAGGGCTGTCTGTGTGCACGTGCGGCGGATGCAGCTGTTGCCACGGCAACGCTCCACAACAACAGGACCATGGTGCGCAGTGAGTGAAAACTATTCTCATGTTCTAATCAAGATTTATTCTTTTAGCTTCATTTTATCAATTTTATTTGTATTTTTACCTGAGTCATATTGCTCAAATATTTATCAGACACAACAGTTAACCAGCAAAATCTCTTTAAACATCGCATTTTTAAATGTTTAGCTCATGTTTAGCTACATGAGCTAACGCGGTGCAGCAGCGCAGAAAAGGCTAAAGTGAGGCTGAATTTGGGTTTTGGAGTTTAAGGGTCAGATAAAAAATAAATAAAATGCTGGTGCTACGAGAATAAAGTCGTAACATTTCCACATTAAAGTCGTAATATTATGAGAATAAAGTCGAAGCCAGAAAAAGTCGTAATTTTACGAGAATAAAGTCGAAGTTAAAATAAAGTCGTAATATTATGAGAATAAAGTTATAATGTTACGAGAATGAAGTCGTAATAAAATCAAAGTCAAAGTGAAAAATGAGGCAGAAGAAGAACCTGTTTTTTCAATATAAAACCAAAAATAAGAAAACGAACAACAATTTTCTTCATTATTTGCGCCTCCGGACTGAACCAGGACTGAACCAGGACTAAACCAGAACTAAACCAGGACTAAACGAGGTCCGAGACCAGACCGGGATCAGACAAGAACTGAGACCAGGATTGAGATTGGGAACAGGACCAGGACTGAGACTGGGACTGATACCGGGACCAGACCAGGACTGAAAACGGTTTAGTCCTGGTTTAGTCCCGATTCAGTACTGGTTCAGTCCTGGTTTAGTTCTGGTTCAGTCCGTATGTGGCGCAATAGTCCCGCATCGCATTTTAAAGTCACGGAAACGCCATTTCCCATTTCCAGGACTAAACTAGCACTAAATCATTTTCAGTCCTGGTCTGGCCCCGCCCTCAGTCCTGGTCTGGTCATGGTCTCAATCCTGGTCTTTCTGGTTTGGTTCAGGACCTGATTTAGTCCTGATTCAGTCCTTGTTCAGTCGAATGAACGAATGATACACGGATTCTTCTCCTTTACAAAATGCTCCAAATTCTCCATTCCCCACTTGTTCAGACTTTCCGAGCAGCCGATATTCTCGTTTATGACTTTATTCTCGTAAAATTACGACTTTTCTGGCTTCGACTTTATTCTCATAATATTACGACTTTAATGTGGAAATGTTACGACTTTATTCTCGTAGTGCCAGCATGTTGTTGTTGTTTTTTTATCTGACCCTTATACTCCGTCGTAGGGTTTGTTCTTGTATCTGGTTTTATTTTTAATTCTCGAATAACCACTTGAGTCTGTGATTTCAAACAGAAACAATGAATATAACTTTAATAAAGGGGATAAGCCTAAACAAAACTATTTTTATCAAGTCAATAGGGCAGGGTTTCTTATGCAAATGCTGCTATTTGGAATGATGAGTCCGGCTCACTGTTAACGCTACTAGGTCAGAGATCTCCAACCTTTTTACCTTGATAAAATGTAAATGCCAGAGAACTACTCAATTTAACGGTCCAGAGAAACAGAAAGTGTAAGAGCCATGGATCTGAAGGGGTACATTTAAATGCCTATTAAACAGACCATTTTCCATTTATTAGTGCACAAGTTAGGCATCATAATGACACATTTATAATAGTAATTAATCAGATTTTAGTAATTAAGTGCAATACATATAATTCATAAATCCCTTGGCGAGCTACTTGGAAGGGAGCGGAGAGCCCTGTCCTTGTTATTATCTCTGTGTAATACAGTGATGCAGATTGAATGTACTCGTCCCCGGTCTGAGCCTGAGCCTGTTTGTGCTTGTCCACAGTCACAGAGGAGCTGGTCCGGAAGCGTGCGGAGCATAATGAAGGGGAGATATTCTCTCTGGAGGAGCTGTCTCTGCACCAGCAGGACATCCAGAAGATCCAGCACCTGGAGCAGTGGTGCCGAGAGCTGCGCATCCTCTACCTGCAGAACAACCTCATCTCCACCATCGGTATGTTTCATCTATGACTTATGATGAGGTAACTTAGAACTTAACTTAAAGCCATGTTGTCCTATATTATGTCCAAAGAAACAACATCTTTATGGAATCAAGCAGGTGGAGGCCAAATAAGTCAGGTTTGTGGAGATGCAAGCCCGCTGAGAGTAAGGACACTTATTTTCCTTCAAATTTTCACTACAATAAAAACATCCAAACCAAAAAAACAGGCTTTTGTTTGGTCCATATTTGGCTCCAAAGTTCCACATTGAGAACATTGAGAGTTTGCGTACAGTTTGTGATTTATACCACTTTAGTTTATTTTACTTATTTAGTGTCATGCATCATTTAGTTGGTGCCCAGCGCACATGGGCTTATAAGACACATGAAACAATAAGCAGACAGATCACACATCAAACATAAAGTGTCGTCTCCTGGAGGGCCCGAGCTTTTAACACAAACTGAGCCAACTTAAAAACATTACATTTAAACAAATACTCCAGTCTCCTCATCAGACATTGCAAACAAACAGTAAGATACATTAGATAAGAACTGACAGTGCAGGTCATGATACAAAGGACAGTAGTACAGAAAATGTCCTTTTTAATGCCCTTTAAGTCACACAGAGCACACGTGCGCTCCTCCTCTGGGACTGAGTGGAAGTGTCCTGTATCCAAGGCCAGAGGCAGAGTCCTACGCCTCAGCTGGGCACATACTGACCTCTGACCTCTGCTCCCTACTCCTGGACGATTTATGTAACAGGCTCCAGTTAAACACATGTTTGGTTAATCTTGTGTCAGGCATATTAACCAACCTTTTCCATAACCGCACCATATCCCAGCCCATGTCTCCATACAGTGCAAGTTTAGGTGCCGTTTTGTGCACGCCTAAGAAGAACCTCTGAGCTCTGCACTGAACTTTCCCACTGTGGGTCTGTTCACAATAACCGCAGACTCCAGCGCCATAGTCCAGAACAGGACAGGCACCAATGTTAGTCCACAATTAAAGGTGCACTCTGTCACTTTTCTGATGGAGGGCCTGTCCGAGCTGACGTCACGAATCAACTGAGTCAATAATTCAGGCAATGCAATGACAGCTCCGTGATTTGCCAAAACACAAACATTATTCCTACTTTTAACTCTGACTAATCTATGATACTTGAACTGCAGTTTTACATGAGTACTCCACTGTGTCTGTCTCTGCGTGTCAGACATCTATAGTTTTGAACATAAATACCACTTTGGTTTTAATGTGACCCTCATCTGAGCACAACACAGACCTGATAATAATGATAAGTCAGAAGTGGTGAAGTGTGTGTTGTGTTGTGTTTGCAGAGAACGTGGGGAAGCTGAAGAAGCTGGAGTATCTGAACTTGGCTCTCAACAACATCGAGCTCATAGAGAATCTGGAGGGTCAGGAGCTTTTTTTGTGTGTGTCTTTTAGGCGTCTCCAGCCTTTTTATCCCCTCGGCTGCTTTTACTAAACCGTAGTGTGACTGAGAGCTTCTCCTGTTTGCAGTCACAAGAAATAGAGTTGATTTAACAGCCGTGACAAGCCTGACTGGATACAGTGAGAACATGAACTTTTCTCAGTATCACTGCACAAAGTCACTCACAGTGCACATTTACAGCGGCCAGTGGACTGTGAACAATCGCTTTTGAATTATTCAGCAGAGTATATAAAACTCCGAAATCCTCTGGGTAGAAAGATGGTAGAAAGCTACAGCGACTCAAAACGGCTCTTGTCACGGCTGTAATGTGTAGAAATGCAACAATAACTGAAATATCGTGATATCGTATCGTCAAAAGTCTCGAATTACAAGTCTCTTTGCTTAAATTCATTGTTTTCTTGCAGCAATAGCTAAAAAAAACAAAAAAAAAACTGAGTGAACTACATGTACCATGATCCTTTGCTCCATTACAGCGCAGACTACAGGAAAAGTAGTACAAATAATAACAAGAATTATCATTTTTAAGCACGTTTAAATCTTAATTATGTGTTTATGACATAATAAAAGTCTTATGAAGGCATTTTAAAAGGAAAAAAGTAGCATTTTCATAGTTTTGTTAGCGTCTACAAAATATCACAATAAATATCGTACCGCGGGATGAAAATACCGTATCGAGAAATTTGAATATCGTTACATTCTTAGTAATGTATGACATTATATAAGTTCTGCGTACAACCCCTGCCAACCTTCTGTACTAGTATTTTTTGTAGTATTTGCTGTAGTATTTGTACTTGTATTTGTTCTAGAATTAGTTTTTATATTTGTTCTAGTATTTGTTCTAGTATTTGTTGTAGTAGTTGTACTTGTATTTGCTCTAGTATTTGTTGTAGTATTTGTTGTATTTGTTGTAGTGTATTTGCTTAGTATTTGTAGTATTGTTCTAGTATTTGTTCTAGTATGTTCTAGTATTTGTAGTATTTGTAGTATTTGTTGTAGTATTTGTTCTAGTATTGTTGTTGTTGTAGTTTGTGTAGTATTTGTTCTAGTATTTGTTCTTGTAGTTGTATTGTATTTGTTCTAATATTTGTTCTAGTATTTGTTGTAGTATTTGTTTGTAGTATTTGTTGTAGTATGTTTGTTCTAGTATGTAGTTGTATTGTTTGTATTTTCTAGTATTTGTAGTTTGTTGTAGTTGTAGTAGTATTGTAGTATTTGTTGTAGTATTTGTTGTAGTATGTTGTGTTTTATTGTATTTGTAGTAGTTGTTTTGTTGTAGTAGTATTTGTTCTTGTAGTTGTATTGTATTTATTCTAGTATTTGTTCCAGTAGTATTTGTTGTAGTATTTGTTCTTGTAGTTGTAATTGTATTTGTTGTTGTAGTATTTGTTCTTGTAGTTGTATTGTATTTATTCTAGTATTTGTTCCAGTAGTTGTTGTAGTATTTGTTGTAGTATTTGTTGTAGTATTTGTTCCAGTATTTGTTGTAGTATTTGTTGTAGTATTTGTTGTAGTATTTGTTCTTGTAGTTGTATTGTAATTTATTCTAGTAATTTAGTATTTAGTTTCTAGTATGTTGTTATTTGTTGTAGTTGTATGTTGTTCTTGTTGTTGTATTGTAATTCTAGTATTTAGTGTTTGTAGTTGTTGTAGTATTGTTTGTTTGTAGTATTTGTTGTAGTATTTGTTCTTGTAGTTGTATTGTATTTATTCTAGTATTTGTTGTAGTATTTGTTGTAGTATTTTTGTAGTATTTGTTAGTTGTTTTGTAGTATTTATTTGTTCCAGTATTTGTTGTAGTATTTGTTGTAGTATTGTTGTTCTTGTATTGTATTTATTCTAGTATTTGGCCTAGTAGTATTTGTTGTAGTATTTGTGTAGTAGTTGTAGTTGTATTGTATTTATTCTAGTATTTGTTCCAGTATTTGTTGTAGTATTTGTTGTAGTATTTGTTCTTGTAGTTGTAAGTATTTCTAGTATTTGTTCCTATTGTTGTAGTATTTGTTGTAGTATTTGTTCCTTGTAGTTGTATTGTATTTATTCTTGTATTTGTTGTAGTTTTGTTTATTTGTTTTAGTTGTTTAGTATTGTAGTTTTGTTCTTGTTGTTCTATGTAGTATTGTTTTTGTAGTTGTATTGTATTTATTCAGTATTGTTGTTAGTTTGTAGTATTTGTTTGTAGTTGTATTTATTTAGTATTTGTTCCAGTAGTTTTCAGTTATGTATTGTTATTTGTTAGTGTAATTGTATTTGTTGTAGTATTTGTTTTCTTGTAGTTGTTTGTATTTATTCTAGTATTTGTTCCAGTAGTTGTTTGTATTTTTGTAGTATTTGTTGTAGTATTTGTTGTAGTGTTTGTTCTTGATTTCAGGCTGTGAGTCTCTGCAGAAGTTGGACCTCACCGTGAACTTCGTGGGGCGTCTGAGCAGCGTCCAGTCACTGAGACACAACGTCCACCTGAGGCAGCTCTTCCTGCTGGGGAACCCCTGCGCAGACTTCCACTTCTACAGGGAGTACGTGGTGAACGCTCTGCCCCAGCTGCAGGTCAGTCCTCAGCTAGAAGTTAAAACTCCTATATGATGCAAAATTTACTCTTGTGAGCTTTAAAGGTTGTATGGAGGATTTTTTTTTTTTGTTCAAAATTGTCATTGAAACTGTTTTAAATCAACCATTTATGCCGATGACGCAGGCAGTGTTTTAATTTGGATGACTGGACTGAGAAAAAAAAAAAAGAACTGTACATCTCCAAAACTTGTAATGTCTTGAAGCTGTAGTTTTAAACTGCTCTCGGATCACTGAAAGCGATCGGGAAAACGCAGAAAGTCAGGGCGATTATTTGAATCAGATTGATCGAAGCTGAGCAAGTAAAAAAAATCTAACTTTAGTTAAATCCTTGTGTTAATACAGGAAGTGCTTCTCTATGTTTTTAAACTCTATACACCTTGAATCACTTGACTCATTTGGATAATTTCAGATCTGGAACTTCACATCTTGAACCTGGAATAGTCCTGTTATAGACCTGGTTTAGTCCTAGATTAGACCTGGTTTAGTCCTAGATTAGACCTGGAATAGTCCTGTTATAGACCTGGTTTAGCCTAGATTAGACCTGGAATAGTCCTGTTTTAGACCTGGTTTAGTTAGATTTTAGACCTGAATAGTCCTGTTATAGACCTGGTTTAGTCCTAGATTAGACCTGGATAGTCCTAGATTAGTATAGACCTGGTTTAGTCCTAGATTAAGACCTGGAATAGTCCTGTTATGACCTGGTTTAGTCCTGTTATAGACCTGGTTTAGTCCTGTTATTAGACCTGGGTTATGACCTGTTATAGACCTGGTTTAAGTCCTGTTATAGATCTATGGTTTAGACCTGGTTTAGAGTTAACCTGGTTTAGTCCCTGTTATAGACCTGGTTTAGTCCTGTTATAGATCTGGTTTAGTCCTGTTATAGACCTGGTTTAGTCCTGTTATAGACCTGGTTTAGTCTGTTATAGACCTGGATTAGACCTGTTATGAACCTGGTTTAGTCCTGTAGACCTGGATTAGTCCTGTATAGACCTGGTTTAAGTCCTGTTTAGATTGGAATAGTCCTGTTATAGATCTGGTTTAGTCCTGTTATAGATCTGGTTTAGTCCTGATTAGACCTGGAATAGTCCTGTTTATAAGACCTGGATTAGTCCTGTTATAGAATCTGGTTTAGTCCTGTTATAGACCTTTTAGTCCTTTTAGATTAGGTTTAGACCTGTAGTCCTGTTATAGACCTGGTTTAGTCCTTTTAGATTAAGTTATAGACCTGGTTTAGTCCTAGATTAGACCTGGTTTCAGTCCTCAAGATTAGACCTAGAATAGTCCTGTTATAGACCTGGTTTAGTCCTGTTATAGATCTGGTTTAGTCCTGTTATAGACCTGGTTTAGTCCTGTTATAGACCTGGTTAGTCTGACCTGTTAGCTGTTACCTGGTTTATCCTGGTTGACCTGGTTTAGTCCTGTTATAGACCTGGTTTAGTCCTGTTATAGACCTGGATTAGTCCTGTTATAGACCTGGTTTAGTCCTGTTATAGATCTGGTTTAGTCCTGTTATAGACCTGGTTTAGTCCCTGTTTATTAGTTTAGTCCTCGATTAGACCTGGAATAGTCCTGTTATAGATCTGGTTTAGTCCTGTTATAGATTCTGGTTTAGTCCTCGATTAGACCTGGTTTAGTCCTGTTATAGACCTGGTTTAGTCCTGTTATAGATCTGGTTTAGTCCTGTTATAGACCTGGTTTAGTCCTGTTATAGATCTGGTTTAGTCCTCGATTAGACCTGGTTTAATCCTGTTATAGACCTGGTTTAGTCCTGTTATAGACCTGGTTTAGTCCTGTTATAGACCTGGTTTAGTCCTGTTATAGATCTGGTTTAGTCCTCGATTAGACCTGGAATAGTCCTGTTATAGACCTGGATTAGTCCTGTTACAAACCTGGTTTAGTTCTGGATTAGACCTGGAATAGTCCTGTTATAGACCTGGTTTAGTCCTAGATTAGACCTGGAATAGTCCTGTTATAGACCTGGTTTAGTCCTAGATTAGACCTGGTTTAGTCCTAGATTAGACCTGGAATAGTCCTGTTATAGATCTGGTTTAGATGTTTTTGGACTTCACACAATAAGGGCTGGTCAGTTTGTAGTTTTAAAGAAAAGAACGTAACAGGCAGTAATTGAATTTATATTCACCTTTTTTTTTTTTTTTTTTTTTTTTTTTTTTAATCTAAAGATGTTTCTACAATTATGTTTAAATCTAGGCCACAATTTGTCCAATATTGCTTGAGGGCAGTGGAGGATGAAGTACTCAATTTTGTTAGTACGTTTTTAAACTCTGTACACCTTGAATCACTTGAATCATTTGGATAATTTAACAACATTATAACATGGACTAAATCTTTATGTAATTTAGGAGATTTAAGCCATATATCATACACATATCAGTGATACAGGAGTTTTAAGAAATGTTTTGTGTCTTTTTGTTTGTCAGTCTTTGGACGGTAAGGAGATCAGCCGCTCGGAGCGACTCAGAGCTGCTCAGGGACTGGACCGGATCAGAGCCGTCGTGCACCAACAGGAAGAAGAGTACGTGAAGAAGAGGGAGAAAGAGAAGGAGGAGGAGGCCAGGAAGGAGCTAGGAGAGAAGGAGAGGAGCACGACAGGGTTGGAGGAGGCAAAAACGGAACCACAGGACAAGGAGAGGAGACCTGGCTTCGATGGACGCTGGTACACGGACATCAGCAGCGCACAGTGAGTCTGGATAACTATTGTACTCAACATATCGTCTCTGATTCAGGTGCAGTGCGATCTTAGGTTGAACTCAGACTCTCAAACTGTGGTGCAGCTCCTTCTGGTGTCACTCGGAGTTCTTCTGTTTGTGCGTTTGCCTCATTTACAGTTCATTTCATCCACTTTTCTGTCCTCTTTGGATCATTTCTTGTTTAGAAATAAAGTGGAAATGGTGTAGGCGACTTTTAGACCTGGTTTAGCCCTAAAATAGACATGGAATAGTCCTGTTATAGACCTGGTTTAGATCTAGATTAAACCTGTAATAGCCCTGTTTTAGTCCTGTTATAGACCTGGATTAGTGCTAGATTAGATTTGGCTGAGTCCAAGGTTAGACCTGGAATAGTCCTGTTATAGACCTGGTTGAGATCTACTTTAGACCTGGTTTAGTCCTAGATTAGACCTGGAATAGTCCTGTTATAGACCTGGTTTAGTCCTAGATTAGACCTGGAATAGTCCTGTTATAGACCTGGTTTAGATCTATTCTAGACCTGGAATAGTCCTGTTATAGACCTGGTTTAGATCTACTTTAGACCTGGTTTAGTCCTAGATTAGACCTGGAATAGTCCTGTTATAGACCTGGTTTAGTCCTAGATTAGACCTGGAATAGTCCTGTTATAGACCTGGTTTAGATCTATTCTAGACCTGGAATAGTCCTGTTATAGACCTGGTTTAGATCTACTTTAGACCTGGTTTAGTCCTAGATTAGACCTGGAATAGTCCTGTTATAGACCTGGATTAGTGCTAGATTAGACTTGGCTGAGTCCAAGGTTAGACCTGGAATAGTCCTGTTATAGACCTGGTTGAGATCTACTTTAGACCTGGTTTAGTCCTAGATTAGACCTGGAATAGTCCTGTTATAGACCTGGTTTAGAACTATTCTAGACCTGGAATAGTCCTGTTATAGACCTGGTTTAGATCTATTCTAGACCTGGAATACTTCTGTTATAGACCTGGTTTAGTCCTAGATTAAACCTGCAATAGTCCCGTTTTAGTCCTGGATTAGTGCTAGATTAGACTTGGTTGAGTCCTTGGTTAGACCTGGAATAGTCCTGTTATAGACCTGGTTTAGATCTTTTTGGACTTCACACAGTAAGGACTGGTCAGTTTGTAGTTTTAAAAATACTAAACTACTAAAACAAAAATAAAAGTACAGCTCCGATAGCAAAGAAACACTCAAGTAAAAGTAAAAGTGTCACATGAAAAAATCTACTTAAATTCCTGTTTATAATGTACTTAAAGAGTAATTTTGTGCAAATTTTGAGCTCTAATAAAGCTTCAAATTTTGTATTTTGATGAAGATTTGTGCTGAATTTTCTTCAGCAGAAACAAATGAATTGAGAGTTTTTATTTGTATATTTGTGTTTAACTTAAACTACAAATATGTTTAAATTAAACCCCTCAGCCATTTCTGCAGGGCTCAGAGGATCATGAAAAACACTTTTACTTTTAAGTCCAGTTAAAAATGTTGTGGAGTAGAAAGTACTGGTACCTGCTCTCAAATGTAGTAAAGAAAATGTCAAAAGTGTTTACTTAAAAATCTACTTAAGTAAAGTACTGATACCTAAAATGTATACTTAAGTTGACTACTTCTACTTTGTTATGTTCCACAGCTGCTTGACGGTAGCATTTGTTTCTGTTTGTCTCCCTCTAGTGGCGGTGAAGAGCAGCAGCAGCAGCAGCAGCAGCAGCAGCAGCAGCAGCAGCAGCAGCAGCAGCAGACGCGCTCAGAGGAGGAGCAGGCCGAGCTGGACTTCTGGCAGACTCCGTGCTCCTTCAGTCCTGAGTCCAGACTGGCCACTCACAGACACCTGGAGGAGAAACGCAGGGGCCAGGACAAGTAAAAGCCCCAAACCTCACATCTCACATCTTTATCTTCATTCCACACAAAGCATGATCCTGTTCCTTTTTATTTGTTACTTAAAATAAATGAAAAATATACATTTGTGTTCATGTGCGTTAGAGATGCTCAGAAGAAGCCCCGTCCTCCTCGCACCCTGATCACTGCAGACGGACAAGTGCTCAACGCCAACGAGCCCAAGTGAGGACCTGCTCAAGTCCTGGTTTAGTCCTGGTTTAGTCCTGGTTTTAATCACTCTCACCCTCTTCTTTGTGCCTCAGGCTGGACTATTGTCTGACTGAAGATGAGGAGAACAACACCATTGTCCTGGACCTGGCTGTTTACAGGTGAGCAGGGGGACAAAAGTAGTGCTGTGCTGCATTACTTCAGTACATTTTACAGGGAAGGCAAGTTTGTTTGTACAGCACAATTCGTACATAAACAAATTCAAAGCGCTTTACAGCAGGGGTCTCCAACCTGTAGCTCGGGAGTTACTAGTAGCTCTCCAAGAGATTTCTGAATTATACATATTGTACTAAATAACTCAAATTTTAGTCATTATCATTGTAAATATGTTATTTTGAACTTTGTGTTCTAATAAATGGATAATGGTTTTAGGTTTTATAGGCAACTAACTGTGCAACACTAAAGCTTACCTTCTTATATTGACTCAATTTCTTGTGACCGCTAAAATGAGTGCTGCTCTCTGGCATTTTCATTTTGGAAAGGTAGCTCACTGGATGCAAAAGGTTGGAGATCCCTGCTTTACAGAATAAGGAATACATTAAAATCGCAATAAAAACAAATTAAAACATAAATATTCATCATAAAATTTAAAAGAGAGACAGACATTAATTACATAAGTTAGAGAGAAGAGTGGGGAATGAAAACCTTTCAGTCATATGCACAGTTAAACAGAATCGTTTTGAGCCTGGATTTAAACAGAGTCAAAGTAGAGTCTGTCTCACGTGTTCAGACTGTTCCAGGTTTTAGCTGCGTGAACTTGAAACTCTGACTCCCCATGTTTAGTCGTGACTCTGGGCACCAGCAGGAGGCCGGTCCCTGAGCTCCTCAGAGTGTGAGATGGTTCATGTGGCACTAACATGTCACAGATGGACTTTGGTGTTCGGCCATGGAGAGACTTGTACAAACAGAGCCGCTTTAAAGTCTCTGAGCCACAGAGGGCAGTGCAGAGACCTGAGCACAGGACTTATGTGCTCGTACTTCCTACTGAGGACCCGAGCTGCAGTGTTCTGGATGTTCTGGATGTTCTGGATGTTCTGCAGCGTCTCACAGCTCGTTTGGAGAGACCAGTGAGCAGAACATTACAGTATCTAACCTACTGAAAACAAACACATGGATAAGTCTCTCCAAGTCTGATTTAGACAGTAAACATTTTATTTTTGTGACGTTGGACACATTTTACATTTAATTAGATTTTTTCATGTGATTAATACATTTTTCTTTATTACTTTTCACCTTTATCTGTACTTTTACATAAATACCAATTAAGTCCTTTTTTCAACCACCTCCAACTGGACACACGCCATAATGCTCAAGATTAAAAATGACCACATAATGACTTTAAATACCCCTGTTATTCAAATAAAGTGAAAAAAGTGGATGGATGGATGTAGATGGAGAGGAGCAGAAGAATTTGCTTTAGATAAAATTGACTCCTGTGAGCTTTCAGCCATGTTCTAACGCTGTTACGTCCTCAAAAACAGACCTGGAGTTACGTTTTGTGTCTGACTAATCCTTTATCCTTTAATCCTTTAGTCTGTTTACATCTCCAAACCTCAAAATGCAGCATGGTTGACCTGGTTTATGGTTGATGTTCTTGTAGCTGCTGGGCCTATCCACATGAAACAAGATCTTCTCTGTCAGCAGACTGAGCGAAAGTGAAATTATCGTTTTAATTGAAGTACCAACAAGTTGATACGATGTGATTCACTCACCCAAACGTGATTCGCGAGTGAACTCTTATAAATAAATCATCATAATGTTTATTTCAAGTGAATTTGCCCTTTGAGCTATTTAGAATTTGCTGAATTTTGAGTGAAATAACAAAACGTGTCTCATTTTAAAGGTGCACTATGTAACTTTTTGGTTGGATATGTCATTGTTCTGCCTGGAATGTTCCACAGTGTGACATTAAACAGCTTTTTTTTTTAATTACAGGTGGTTTTATAGCTCAAAAATCCCTAGAAAAATAGGCATTCTGACTGTGAGCGGTGTGACTTCTCCACAGATCTAACCTGTATCTTGGTCTAGTTTGGTCTCCATGAAGATAGAAATGTCTCCATGCACAAAAGCACTTGATGGACCCTCCACCAGAAAAGTTACACACTGCATCTTTTAAAAGAGTTAAAAGACGAATTCTACAATTTTCAAACCATGGTCAGTGGGGGTGTAACGATATCCATGTCTCACGATACGATATCGTCACAGTATGAAACTCACTGTATGATATTTATTGCGATATTGTCAAAAAGCTCACAATTAGGGACGTAACAATATCCAAATCTCTTGGTACGATATTTATTGTGATATTTTGTGGAGGCTGAACAGCAAAAACTGTTGGGCAGGACTGGACCAGGACTTAAGCAGGACTGGACCAGGAATGGACCAGGACAGAAGGACTAAAGCAGGACTAAACCAGGGCTGGGACAGGACTGGAACAGGACTGAACCACGACAGAACCAGGATTTTACTAGGACTAAACCAGGACTAAACAAAAACTGTGGGCCAGGGGTAGTGCTGGACTGAACCAAAACTGAACCAGGACTGGACCAGGATGGAAACTAAGACTGTATATGATAGTTTTTCCGCTTAAAATGCCTTGACAAGACTTAATCCAAAGAACTAAGACTTAAAAGTATTAGAACTGTTATTTCTTCTTGTAGTCTGCACTGAAATGGAGCAAAGGATCATGGTCTATGTAGTTCCCTCTGTCTTTTTTTAAACTATTCCTGCACCATAACTCTTAATTTAAGCAAAGAGACCTGTAATTTGATATATTGTGATGGTCCACGATATTATTGTGAGAACTTTGACGATACAATATCACGATTTTTCCGTTATTGTCACATCCCTAATGGTCAGTGTAGAAAGTCGTCACATCATGTATATTTTCTCCCTCAGACATTTGGACACGTCTCTGATTGACGTGGACATACAGCCCAGCTACGCCCGGGTCCTGATCAAAGGGAAGGTGAGCTTAATTACTCCTACTTGAGTAATATTTTCACTGAAGTAAGAGTACTCTTGTCTTACTTGAGTAAAAGTTGTGTTTCCTCTTCCCACTGTGAGTAAATCTAAAGTGACAAAAGGTTTATGTTTAGGCAAGGTCTTCATCGTCGGTGTCGTAATCAGACATGTTGTTGCTAACATTCCGAGCAGTAAACAAAGTGAAACAGGCGCAGCTGTCACCTGGCAGCAGCATGCAGTGATACAAATGCCACAACATGTCTGATTACGACACCGACGATGAAGACCTTGCCTTTAGCACAGAGTCAAGACGAGATCTTTATGAACCCGAAAATACTGATGCCGAAAAACGGGCAGAGAGTGAGCACACAGCGCGCAGTGATACGAAACGGAGAGAAAATAGTGCCAAGCGATTATGAGGTCTGACTTTTTTGAGGACAAAGGTTTTGTGATGCAGATGTATCACTCTTTTGAAGACATATAGTTTTGAGAAGAAAAACTCTTTATTTTAATGTCCCCAGCCAACTTGCCGGACTACTTTCTTCAGCTCCAAAACTAGCCAGTATCTCGGCTCACTGGATGCTGTCGGGGGTAAATCAGTATGGATGCGCGACACTGCTCACGGGAATGCCATACAGATTCATGTCAAAAAACCTGAACTATGTTAGGTGTCTGCGTACACCGGTATATGAATGTGTTGAGTGGGGGATGAGTGGTAAAGAGCTTTAAATGCCTTGAAAGTGGAAATCGTATGACCTCCATTACTCTTACTAACTAATGTCTTGGACCACTACTTTGTACTTCTACTTGAGTAATATTATTTCAAGTACAATTTTTGGCTACTCTACTCAACTCTGTCTATCATAGAATAGCCTGTTGATGTGTTGGTGGTTGCAGGTGTTCCAGATCGTTCTCCCCGCTGAAGTAAAACCTGACGCCTCCACAGCCCAGAGGTCCCAGAGCACAGGGCACCTCGTCCTCACCATGCCCCGGGTACCTGCCACAGTCCACACAGTCTCTATTCCAAAGTGCATATGACAGAAAGTCCTACTGTTTGTATAATGATCACTTAGTTTCATGGGATAATACCTGATTAATGAGTTACACCAGAGGGAGGTTAGGGCGTGAAAAAAGTTGAACAATATAGAAAGTAATGCTGAGTTCTGACAAAACTTTTAAAATTCTATCTACTAGGGCCAAGACACAGGTTTTTCTCAGAACCTCCACTTCACTAGTACTGCCTCATGATTGTCTGGAGGTGCTGGGGTTTAGGTAGTGACCGTTTAGATCAGAGAGAGACATTTTTGGTTTAAGCACACTGGATTTTAGATTTTTTTGAGACTGGCAACACAAATGAGAGACTCATGTGAGACTCATTCTGCTTTCTGATTGGATAATTGTCTTAGAGCCAAAACATCAAACTATAACATAAACAGTTTAATGTTTTTGTGATTAAGAATGTTTGTTTCAGGCTGAAGGGGAAATCCGAGTGACGAAGAAGAAGCCTCCTGTCCCCAAACAGCGCACGAACCACAGCAGCAGGTGAGTCAAACTGCACGACAACAAACACGAAATACACTTTTTTGCTACTAAACTGAGTATATAATGTTTAGGTAGTGTTTGCCTAATGCTCCTAGTCATTTTCAACATTTTTTTTTAAATACAAACCAGGTCAATTTTCTTTATCTTCATGGTCAAAAACAGTCAAAAAAGGTGTGTGCTGCCTCCAGCCTCAGGGGTGGGGTTTGAAGTGTGGATCCTTGTCAGTCACACTGTTCCTTAGACTTTCAGACTCTATCCTTCCTCCTCCTTCAGTCTTCCTTTTAGTCCTCCAGACCCCGTCCTTCCTCCCCCCTCACTCTTCCCTTTAGACCTCCAGACTCTGTCCTTCCTCCTCCCTCACTCTCCCTTTAGACCTCCAGAACCCACCCCTCACTCCCCCTCACACTCCCCTTTAGTCTTGCAGAATCCTGCCCCTTCCTCCTCCCTCACTCTCCCTTTTAGTCCTCCAGACCCCGTCCTTCCTCCCCCCTCACTCTTCCCTTTAGACCTCCAGACTCTGTCCTTCCTCCTCCCTCACTCTCCCCTTTAGACCTCCAGAACCCACCCCTCACTCCCCCTCACACTCCCCTTTAGTCTTCCAGAATCCTGCCCCTTCCTCCTCCCTCACTCTCCCCTTTAGTCTTCCAGAATCCTGCCCCTTACTCCCCCCTCACTCTTCCCTTTAGACCTCCAGACTCTGTCCTTCCTCCTCCCTCACTCTCCCCTTTAGACCTCCAGAACCCACCCCTCACTCCCCCTCACACTCCCCTTTAGTCTTCCAGAATCCTGCCCCTTACTCCCCCCTCACTCTTCCCTTTAGTCCTCCAGAACCCAGCTCCTCACTCCCTCCTTTAATCCTCCAGACCTCCCCTCACTCCCCTTCACTCTCCCCTTTAGTCCTCCAGACCTCCCCTCACTCCCCCTCACTCTCCCCTTTAGTCCTCTACACACTGTATTCTGAGTATTTAGAATCATTTCACATTGTGTTGTTTCGTTTTGTGTTGTAGGTCTGGTTCAGCCCATGAGTTGTTGGAGGTAGATTCCAGCGCACTGGTGGATTTCACAAACATCGTCCAGCGTCCTCACAGCGGAGAAGGTCCTCTAGACACCAGGGAGACGACTGTCCAATCAGAGCCCAGTGTGTCCCCTGGGTTTGTGGACGACCCAGATGTTCCGCCTCTCATGTAGACAAAAGTAACAAACATGGGCTCATTTTTTTTCTATTTGGGGTAATGTAAAATATTCTGGACAATTGCACATAAATATAATAACAGAAGTTGTATTTGTACTGCAGAAACAAGGTAACAGACCTGTTTTTAGTATTTTTAGTATACAGAGATACTACAGGACACATGCTGTATAGACAGTTCATTACATTCCTGTAGTTCAGTATGGCTACGGCTTTATCTTTCACATAAATGTTGAGGTTTTGGTTCTTAAAATACTGTAGTAGAGATGTGAACTTGTAAGTCGTGACTTGGACTCGAGTCAGACTTGAGTCACTATTTTTAGGACTTGAGACTTGACTTGATAAAATGGACTAAGACCTGGGACTCGACCTGGACTTGAGGACTGTGACTTGCGAAACACTTTTAAATCTGAATTCTTTCTGTTCTGACCATAATGATTCACACTATTATCAAAGAAAAAAATAACTAAATTATTTTTTACAACTCTTATATACTCTAAAAATACTCATATATATATATATATATAGTCTTGTTTCATAGACTTTCTGCAGCATGTACAGTAGTTATTGTCAGATTTGATCCTTGGACACCGAGTTTGTGTTTGGTATTTGATTGAGGAATTAATTAAAATGAAATACTATCAATAAGAGCATCGATCTTGTCTTCATTCATTCCTTTTAAATTATATATAGATTTTTATTCTGTTTACTTTTATTAGTTTCCTTAAATATGAGTACTCTGTTGTCACGATACATTTCGATTTCAATATCACAATAATAAAAAACACTCTTCCTACCATTTAATGTTGAAAATCACATTCTATTTTCTTAACTTTAGACTAGATTTTCCGCATTAAATGGTAGTACTTTCTTTTCTATTCCCATGTGTCCTTATAGTATCTGTGTCCATGTGCGTATACTCATCATTTTTGTGTCAATCCTTTGAAAACATCACATTTAAAATCAGGTGTTTTAAAGACTTAAGTGACAAACAACACGACCAGGACGTAAGAAAAGTAGACCCCTTTATTGTCGGTTTAAATAGAAAAGAAATACAAAATAAATATTATTGGACATCGGGGCCGAGGGGAGGCGGGACGGGGGCGGGGTGTAAAAAAAAGTAAACAGCACAGTCTTTATCCTCCGTTTCAAAAGCAACATTCATAGAGAGGCGCCGTTTGGAGGCACCTGATTGGTCGAACAATTGCAGTGGGTGGGGCCAGAGGTAATGTTCTGTTGGAATGTTTCAAATTCGATCTTTGTTTTGTTTTTTGTTTTTTTTGTTCTTTGCTCCGGTGGCCTGTGCGTCTGACTGAGCGGTAGGGCATCTGAAGGAATCACAATCATGTACTGCCCTAGGAATTTGAAGTTGTTGTCGTCACGTTTTTCGAACACGGTCCCAAACCCACGGAATTAGTGCTAGAATTGCTGAGTAGTGAATAGAATTGCTGAAATGGAGAAAATTATAGCGAAAACTGCTACAACAAACCCTTAAAGATCCCATATTTTGCTTCACAGACTTTTTGTACCTTTTTTAGAGAGTTGGAAATGGCTACTCTTGTGCTCCTCTCTGTTTTTAAAGTCCATACACGTCAGTTGCCTTCACCGGAAAGCATCGGCGATAACAAAAACATCAGCGATTGCAGTTACTGATGTTAGCCTCGTTTAAAAGCCCTGTGTGTAAAGTTTTTCCCTTGTGATTATGCAAAACGTGGATTTTTCTGTAGAGTATATTGCAAAAATTCAACTTACGATAAGAGAAATTGTGTCGTGAACCATTTGTGTTGATCGTGAACTCGAAGGACTCGCTGGATGTTTAAAAATTTCAACTTTCTGCGTCTGTCCAAAAGGCTTCATGTCCTCAGTGTTTCCAGCAGAGGGCGCAACACCTACAGAGTCAATTGCAATTGGTACAGATACTGAAATTTTGGTAGATCAAGTATCATGTAATATCATTTTGTATCATTTTGTATTTTTTCCTATCATTGCATATTGTTTTGTATCATTTCGTTTTGTTTCATATTGTTTTGTTTCGTATTGTTTTGTATCATTTTGTATTGTTTCGTGTAATTGCTTATCGTTATGTATCGTTTCATATTGTTTCTTTTTGTTTCGTATCGTTTTGTTTTATATTGTTCTGTATCGTTTCGTTTTGTGTCACTGCATATGATTGCGTATCATTTCGTATCATTTTGTATCATCTCATATCATTTTGTATTGTTTCACATCATTGTGTATTGTTTTGTTGTTTAACATTGTTTCGTACTGTTTTGTATCATTTCGTACAATTGTGTATCGTTTTGTATCACTTTGTATTGTTTCGTATGATTGTTTATCATTTGGTATCGCTTTGTATTGTTTGGTATTGTTTTGTATCATTGCGGTTTTTTTGTATCGTTTTGTATCATTTCATATCATTTTGTTTCATTTTGTATTGTTTTGTATCATTGCGTATAATTTCGTATCATTGTGAATAGTTTTGTATCGTTTCGTAACGTTGCGTATTATTTTGTATCGTTTCGTATCATTGCAAATCGTTTTGTAACGTTGCGTATTGTTTCGTATCGTTCATATTATATTGTATTGTTTCGTTTCATTGCAAATCGTTCGCAACAATACGAAATGGCCAGACATCATTTCGTATCGTTGCGTATTATTTTGTATCATTTTGTAACACCGTGTATTGTTTCGTATTGTTTTGTATAGTTGCGTATCATTTTGTATCATAAACATAAATTTAAAGAGGCTGCACCCAATTTTTGAAAATGCGAAAATAGATCTAAATCATTTGAAACAGTTTGCAGCGCTCCAAACTCAATCCTCACTTTTGATCTTTCTTGGCACATTTTACAAAGTTTATCGCTTCACCCACAGCAGTCATGTTTGTTTTGATACAGACAGACCGTGCTTGTCCCTGATTGGCCAATTCACCTGTCAATCACGCCCTCTGAACTCAACAACCAGCCTGCTGACTCTGCACCAGCTTTACTTCCGAGTTCACGATCAGATCTACAGTTTATGACAAATTAGGTTTAAAATCATGACAAAATAAACGAGCTAAGGCCTCTCAAATGAGTTTAAAAAGCCAAACCAGCATAATATGGGAACTTTATAATATGTATTCATGTCTTTTAGACATTTGAGATCACTGGACAAAACCAAGCGTGACACTGGACACACCACCACAAACCAAACCCCAAATCTCCGTTACCCTTTACATCTCATTAAATAAGTTAGCCTTTAGCTTTAGAGACACCCGTTCGTCCTCTACATTGCTTTGCTCGTAAATCCCTGGCTTCGGATCAGTTTTTGTGCCATCTCTTCAAGTGTTTTTTTTTTTTTTTTGTGAGTGTGTGTAATCGCCGTCCCTCTCCTCTTTTCCTCAGGACAGCTCGGTTTTGTCGGTGGACTCGGCGTGGTGCCCGCTTGTGCTGTCCGACCCCGCGGGCGCTAACAACGTCCTGCGGTTGTAATGGTGTCCTTTCATGATCCCAGAGTTGTTGTTTTCGTTGAGTATCTGCTTCTGCTTCTGCCGGTTGAGCGACTGCACCAGCCCCAGGACCACGGCGGCCAGCGAGTACTGCCCGGTGATCTTGCGCGGCTGCAGGATGAGCGGGTTGGGCTGGACGCGGCCCAGGAGGAAGTGCGTGCGGATCTTGCCCTCCTGCTCGCTGATGCCCTTCACGTAGATCTCGCCGCGGTACTCGAAGGCGAACCCGCGCTCTTTGAGGATCAGGTAGGTCTCCTCGGGGACCTGGATCTTGCCGCTGACCCCGGTGCTGTCCATGCGGCTCGCCAGGTTCACCGTTTTGCCCCAGATGTCGTACTGGGGCTTCTTGGCTCCGATCACGCCGGCGACCACTGACCCGTGAGCCATGCCTGCGGGACGAGAGCAGAAGAATAAGATGGAAATATTACATAACTTTATAAAAAATGTAGCTCGCCAAGGAATTTCGAAATTATACCCTTGTGCTGATGAATAACTTTTTTTTTTTTTTTGTGTGTGTGTGCACATAAAGCAAATGTCACAGAGAAAACAATTAGTAGTAATATAATGTGACAATTTTTTTTTATTCCCCAAACCCCCCTTTCCCATTACCTTCCTCCATTTTCTCCAGTGGGGAATAAATAATAATAATAAAGAAAAAAATTAAATTAAATTAAAATATACATTATATTATTATTATTATTATTATTATTATTATTATTATTATTATTATTATTATTATTATTATTATTAATTATAATAATAATAATAATAACAATAACAATAAATTAAGAGTTAATAAAGAATAAAAGTAAATTGAATACATAAATAAATAAATAAATAAATAAATAAAGGGAAAAGAGGGAAATACTGTTTTTTTCTTTATAACAAAAATTTGGTTAATTACATGCCTATTACTAAATGCATAATTCGAAAACCCAACTTTTTTTTTTTTTTCACTAATAAATGGACAGTGGTTTATGTTTCATTGGCATCTAATTGTACCCCAAAGATTCGCCCTCTTTCTTATAATTGTCTCAATTTTTTGCGGCCGCTAAAATGAGGAGCTCTCCGGCATTTTTCCTCTGGCATATGGAGCTCAAACAGTGACCTCCCACCATGAGGTTGTCAGAGTGCTATACCCATCCATTTTTTCCAATAGACTGTCCAAAATAAATAAATAAATAAATAAAGTTTATTAAAAAATAAAGTTTCATAAATTTAATAAACTTTGGAAACCCATTATTGATTTTCTGCAGTCTGTGCCGACGTGAGAAACAATCCATTTGGGTACATGTGCCTCCACAAGCATGTTTGTTTTTCATTTTATTTTCACTTCATTTGGCTCAGTGAAAATGTTACGACTGTAATATTTCTCCAAGGTTTAACTTTCAAAGGGCAGGACTGTTGAGCTTCACTTGGTACTTATTTATTATGGGATGACACTTTGGCGTTTCAATTATTGTGAAAAATAACATCACAGTCGTACAATTATTCACACATCACCAAAAGTAATTAATTGACTTTGATGCATTCTTTCTGCTGTCTATGACCGACTGTTACAGAATTCACTTCATTTGTAAGTTTTTCAGTTTTTCTCATCTGTGTGTGTCTCGTGTGTGTGTCTTATCTGTGTGTAAGTGTGTGTGTGTCTCATCTGTGTGTAAGTGTGTGTGTGTCTCATCAGTGTGTGTCTCATCTGTGTGTGTGTGTGTCTCTCATCTGTGTGTAAGTGTGTGTGTGTCTCATCAGTGTGTGTCTCATCTGTGTGTAAGTATGTGTGTGTCTCATCTGTGTGTGTGTCTCATCTGTGTGTGTGTGTGTGTGTCTCATCTGTGTGTCTCATCTGTGTGTGTGTGTGTGTCTCATCTGTGTGTGTGTGTGTGTGTGTCATGTTGTGTGTGTGTGTGTGTCTCATCTGTGTGTAAGTGTGTGTCATGTGTGTGTGTGTGTGTGTCATTGTGTGTGTGTGTGTCTCATCTGTGTGTGTGTGTGTGTGTGTGTCTCATCTGTGTGTGTCTGTCAGTGTGTGTGTGTGTGTCATTGTGTGTGTGTGTTCTCATCTGTGTGTGTGTGTGTGTCATCTGTGTGTGTCATCAGTGTGTGTGTCTGTGTGTGTGTGTGTCATGTTGTGTGTGTGTGTGTCTCATCTGTGTGTGTCTCATCAGTGTGTGTGTGTCTCATCTGTGTGTGTGTGTGTGTCATTGTGTGTGTGTGTGTGTCTCATCTGTGTGTAAGTGTGTGTGTGTCTCATCAGTGTGTGTCTCATCTGTGTGTTGTGTGTGTGTCTCATCTGTGTGTCATTAGTGTGTGTGTGTCTCATCTGTGTGTGTGTCATTGTGTGTGTGTGTGTGTTTCATCTGTGTCGTGTGTGTAAGTGTGTGTGTGTCTCATCTGTGTGTGTGTGTTCATCTGTGTGTGTGTGTAAGTGTGTCTGTGTCTCATCTGTGTGTGTGTGTGTGTGTCTCATTTGTGTGTGTCATGTGTGTGTGTCTCATCTGTGTGTGTGTGTGTGTCTCATCTGTGTGTGTAAGTGTGTGTGTGTCTCATCTGTGTGTGTGTGTGTGTGTCTCATCTGTGTGTGTAAGTGTGTGTGTGTGTCTCATCTGTGTTTGTGTGTGTGTCTCATCTGTGTGTGTGTCATTTGTGTGTGTGTGTCTCATCTGTGTGTAAGTGTGTGTGTGTTTCATCTGTGTCGTGTGTGTAAGTGTGTGTGTGTTTCATCTGTGTCGTGTGTGTAAGTGTGTGTGTGTCTCATCTGTGTGTGTGTGTGTTTCATCTGTGTCGTGTGTGTAAGTGTGTGTGTGTCTCATCTGTGTGTGTGTGTGTGTGTCTCATCTGTGTGTGTGTGTGTGTGTTTCATCTGTGTCGTGTGTGTAAGTGTGTGTGTGTCTCATCTGTGTGTGTGTGTGTGTTCATCTGTGTGTGTGTGTGTTTCATCTGTGTCGTGTGTGTGTGTGTGTGTGTGTGTTCATCTGTGTGTGTGTGTGTGTTTCATCTGTGTCGTGTGTGTGTGTGTGTGTGTGTCTCACCGATCCTCAGCTCAAAGTTGTTGAAGGAGTGTTTGTTGATCTCCTGGATGCTCTCGTTCAGCGCGATGGCGAAGTCTGCCAGAGCACACAGGTGTCCCCACTTATCCTCACACTGCTGTGAGGAGCACAACACAACAACACAACCACAGGTCAGGCACTGCTGTGAGAAGCACAACACAACAACACAACCACAGGTCAGGCACTGCTGTGAGGAGCACAACACAACAACACAACCACAGGTCAGTCAGGGACACTTCTGAACATGTTTGTTGAGGTCTAAACTCGGGGTTCTTAACCTTCTTGATCTTGGGGACTGTTTTTTCAGTAAAAACTAACTAGAAGCCAATCTCATTAAATGTAAAATATTCTTCTGGCCCTTAGGTGTTTTGGGCCCCGGCTCTAAGGTTCACAATCACTGGTCTTTACCATCAGAGATTTAAAGTCTGATGATTTTTCACCCGTCTGTTTGGCTTGTTGTCTGCGTCTGTGTCTGTGTCGTTGTAGCGTCATTACTCTGCTGCAGTGAGGTTACATCATTCTTCCATCATCCTTTACACGTTCCACATTTTCACATTTGTTTGAGAAATTAATGAACACAAATTCAAGAATTTTGTTTTTCTTCGCTGGTAGGTTTATGAAATAGGCTGTGAAATAGGTACCACGTTTTTATATAAATGGTCCTAAAAAGGTCTTAAAAAGGCTTGAATTTAACTTGAAGAAACCAAAGAGCCCATGGAGACACAGGGACACTCTGGTCTCTGCAGTGGACATTCCGCAGGATTACTTAAACACAGATAAGACAGCACTGTGTCCCTCACCTGCTTCTCGGGGGACAGGCCGGACACTGCCATGTAGGTGCTGCCGATGGTCTTGATCTTCTCGATGTCCTGGAAGCGTTCCTCTCCCAGCAGCTGCAGGAGCACAGGAGGACGGAGTTAGTGGACTGTTTAGGTCATCGGGAGTCGACCTTTTTCGACGCTCATGATTCATGTTGCATGTATCGTGTGCTCTTAAATTTACCATAATAACAACTGAACCTGTGTTTCCAGAGCTTTAACCTGCAGGACACATCAGAGTTTGTCTCATTCTCAGTTTATGAACAGGTCATGCCTCATGTGAAAGCTCAGATTGGCATGGTTTGTTGCAGATGCTTAGGGGGTTTAGGTAGAGACCATTCAGATCAGAGAGATTCAGATCAGAGAGAGTCCTTTGAGGTTTAAAGTGACCGGATTTAAGCATTGAAACTGCCAACCCAAATGAGATGAGAGACGCACAGGAGGCTCACTGTGCTTTTTGATGGGATAATCATAAGAACAGAAACAACATTATGGTTATGTGTAAAAGCTACAAGAGTAAACTTTTAGGAAGTTGGACGAGCACCAGTGTTTGATTTCTGTGAGGCATTTGGAGCTGGAGGAGTGTGGGAGTGCGGAGGTGGTGAAGTACATCCTTGGAGCAATGAAAATGAACGTTACATTTACAGAAGATATTGCTGAGGGATGGAAGAGAAGTGATGAAGAAGGAGGGAGCCTTGGACAGAGTAAAGACTTGATGAGCTATACATTACTCTGAAGAGACATGTTTGTGTTTTTATTACTGTTTGTGTTTTCTGCAGACCCCTGGGAGCTCGCGTGTGAACTCGCTCACCTCGTCGAAGTCTGCGATGATCTCGTTGAGCAGACGCAGACACTCCACGCCCTGGTTATTCATCTCCGTCTGAGAGTAAAAGTCTGCGAAGCCCGGGATGGACGCGAACATCACCCCCACTGCGTCGTACGACTGAGAGTACAGCTCCTGAAACACAGACAAGTACATTTAATACTACTACTACTGCTACTACTGTACTAATACTGCATCGTACGACTGAGAGTACAGCTCCTGAAACACAGACAAGTACATTTAATACTACTACTACTGCTACTACTGTACTAATACTGCGTCGTACGACTGAGAGTACAGCTCCTGAAACACAGACAAGTACATTTAATACTACTACTACTACTACTACTACTACTACTACTACTACTGCGTCGTACGACTGAGAGTACAGCTCCTGAAACACAGACAAGTACATTTAATACTACTACTACTGCTACTACTGTACTAATACTACAACTACTGCTGCGTCGTACGACTGAGAGTACAGCTCCTGAAACACATACAAGTACATTTAATACTACTACTACTACTACTACTACTACTACTACTATACTACTACTACTACTACTACTGCGTCGTACGACTGAGAGTACAGCTCCTGAAACACAGACAAGTACAATTTAATACTACTACTACTACTACTACTACTACTAACTACTACTGCATCGTACGACTGAGAGTACAGCTCCTGAAACACATACAAGTACAATTACTGCTACTACTACTACTACTACTACTACTACGATTACTACTACTACTATTACTACTGCATGGTTCGACTGAGAGTACAGCTCCTGAAACACATGACATACATACTACTACTACTACTACTACTACTACTACTACTACTACTACTACTACTACTACTACTACTACTACTACTACTACTACTGCATCGTACGACTGAGAGTACAGCTCCTGAAACACATACGAGTACATTTAATACTACTACTACTACTACTGCTACTGGATACATAATGGATCAAATAAATCCCACTCCATGAGCTGAGTCTGTCTGTACTTCTCTGGTGCCACCTCCAGAGGGCAGTGTGTACCAGTTATATGTGAACTCTCAGTCACATTTATGGTACTTTTTTATTCAAATACTGTATGAAAACTAAACACAAGCACAAGTGTGAGAATGAGACATTTTGTTAAGATTTTTTTTGGTCATTTGTTTGATATTAAATGCTGTGTCAAGTTTATAATTTCACTTCCTAGTTGGGCTTGGAGATATGACATAGGACAAAGAGATAATCACATAGCAACTATAAAGCAAACAAGTGTCAGAACATGCCTAAATTACACAACAGTCATGGTTATAATCATGAAAATAAAACACTTTAATTTTGCTAAAAGAAAGTTTAAAGTGTCAGAAAAACATCTCCGCCATCTGCTTTTCTCCATGGAGATGTTATTGCTTCATCTGAAATGTTCCACAGTGTGGTATTAAACCTTTTCATTTTCATGGAGACCAAAACAAACCAACATATCGATCAAAACAAGCGGGTGGAGGACCCCTAACCGAAAAGTTACACAGTGCTGCTTTAAACTGTCACAAATACTTGGTGCAGGTACTCGCCAAACAAAGACAGAATTAGAAAAAAATCTGTTAGATGCAGTTTAAGTTTACTGACACTACTGGACCGTCCTTTTTTACATTTTAAACTCTGAGCTGAGTAAAAGATCTAGTGTTGTAGTACTTGAGACTGGTCTTGGTCTCGAGACCAGCAACAAAACTTCGAAACCAGCTTCAAGACTGTTTTTTAAGGGGTAGAGAATGGAACTTTGCTGATTGGACTCTCACATACAAGGTTATATTGCTACAAATTTGTTCTGGTTTAGATGTGGTTCAGCCCTGGTTTGGTCTTTGTTCAGTCCTTGTGTAGTCCTGGTTTAATCCCGGTTTCCTACTGGCTTAGCATTGATCCTTTTTACATTTTAAACTCTGAGCTGAGTAAAAGATCTAGTGTTGTCGTCTTGATCTCGAGACCACCTTTTTATGCTCTTGGTCTCGCCTTGGACTCAAGGACTGACACTCGACGAGAGCGTTCATACACGTATTTCATTACGGCCGGTGAATGTGCAGAGGCTGCTCAGTATCACTGCAAAACCAGTAACAGATCATGTAACTGTGAATGTTATGAACTTGAAAAAAACACTTGACCCACTTTGAAGCAGTTTTCTGTGAAGTGCCAGCGGAAGCGGGATTAAATAAAAAGTTCTCAAGATGTGGGTCAGGGTCCAAAAACGGGGCGCAGAGTGTTTTAGTGCAGTACAGTTTAATTGGCTTTTTTTTAAGCATAAATGAACATTAACCAGATAAAATGGAGATAGATTTATAAAAACATTGTGCCAAAATAACTGTTAAATACAAATAAATGTATAAAATTACAAAGACGGTCTGGATTTGGTCTCGATGGGCTGTGGTCTTGATCTTGACTCGACCTTTAAAAGTCTAGATCTTGTCACAATCTCGACCCTCAGAGGTCTTGGTCTTGTCCTGGTCTTGGGACCCTGTGGTCTCGGACTGGTCTTGGTCTCATTTAGTACAGTCTACAACACTAGGGTGACCATATTTCTGTTTATCAAAACCAGGACACTGTACGGGACATGGATATTGAGCTACTCTCACCTGGCAAAGCTTTTTAATGTTTTTCGGTGTCCTAGTGAACTTTGAGGTCCCTGGCTCCCTCACTGGTCACCGAAACATATGTGCTGCTTTGTACACTGCGCACATGTCCTCCGAATTGTCTCAACCAGGACGGAAAGCGGGGAATTTCTTGTACAAGTCATCGTTAAATGCGCATTTGTGCTTCGGCGTGTTGCAGACTGACCGACGGTTTGTGTCTTCTCGCTCCTTCTGAGTTACAGATGCTACGAGAGTTTAATGGCCCAATGAAAGATCATGAAAACCTGGACATTTGCATCACTTTATAAAAAAACAAAAAACGCAGACAGGACATGAAAAACAGACATGTCCGTGGAAAAACTGACCCTATACAACACTGAAAAGATCACCTGACCCCACTGACCCGTCCAATCGAGCCTGCGAGTGGACGCCTCCTGTAAACACGTCTCCGTCACAATGAGCCACAATAATGAGCCATCATAACGTCAGTGTGCATCAGTGTCAGTGTAACTCAGTGTCAGCGCCGGTCTCACGGAGCAATCACAGGTTTAATCAGATCAGATTCTGAATAAAAATGTATTTGTGGTTGACTTCAGCGATTATAGATTTGATCACCTGATTTAACATGACATTTCCATCAAGTGACACTAGACTAAAACCAAGGGCCTGTTTACACGAGAACGTTTGCGGGTAAAATGACAAAATATTTTATCAGAAGTGCCTTTCGTTTAGACCCGGGGTGGCCAAACGTTTTGACTCGAGGGCCCCAAAGGGTTCTAAAATTTGATGGACCGGGAGCAGATGGATTGAGTTTTTTGGTAATCCACCTCATAAGAGAAAAAAATAACATGGGATATGTAGAAAATATGTCCCATGTTATTGAAATATCTAAAAAAAAATCATTACAAAGCATTACAACAAAATATCTGTCTTTCAAGTGCCACGATATTTACTATTTATTGAAATCACTTTGAAAAACACTGAATATTATCAAGTTCGGCAGGATGGATTGAGAAGATGTAGTTTGCCCATCCCTGGTTTAGACGGTGACGGAGTTTTTGGGGCTTAAAAATGCAAAAATCTGAAACCACCCTCCAGAGTGCAAAAGTTGAACACACTCCGCCGTAGTGTTTCCGTCTACACTGCCCAAGATGCAAAACTCTGGTCAGATCTGCTCACGTCTCGTACACGTTTACGTCACAAACATACAGTACACAGAAACTCTAATAAAGCTTTAATAAACTTACATGAGGCATCCCAACAAATGTACAGAATATGTAGAGATACTATTCGGCTTCGTTCAGACTGCAGGGTTTAACGCTCAATTCCGATTTTTTTGTGAAATCCGATGTTTTTGCGAGATCGTTCACATTTCCAATTAAATGTGACTTATATGTGACTCCAGTGTGAACATTAAACGGCCCAAAAGTGTCCCGCATGTGACACTGGAGACACGACGACGTCAACCGCAGCGAGCGTCTCTGTGTTTACGGAAGTTGTCCAAACATGGACGCGAGCATCGAGCACCTGGAGATTTTAAAGTTCCTCTCGTACCGGAGCCAGAACATGAACAACTTACTTGTTTTAAGGAGGAGATTGAGAAGGAGAAAGACGAGGTTTTTGGCCGTGGTGTTTTGTGGGGCAGCGGCAGCGACGTCCGTTGAAAGGAACGTGTGGATGTGGAGACGGAGCCAAGAGTGGTGAGTGGTGATGTGCTTCACTTCAGTGACACGGAGTTCGTTAACAATTTTCGCCTACTTCAGCGCAGAATAGTGACGTTTGTGGCTTGTTGATAACGTGTAGGTGGATGAATGCGCTTTGGCCGTTCAGACTGAAGTCGCATGTCAAAAGATCAGATGTGTATCGGTTTTAGGAGCACATATCCAAGTGTCCTGGGCCACATTTGAAAAAATCGGATCAGATACAGGTCACATAGAGGCCAAAAAAATCAGATTTGGGTCACTTCAGGCTGCAGTCTGAACGCAGCCTTAGTGTGTCAGATTCTGGATGCACCAGTTCGTCGCAGGAGAGTCAGACGGCATGCAAAACCCAATCGAATTCCACACACTTTTACGTCACCATATGCACGCAGATTTCCTCCCAAAAACAATCGTCTAAATGCGGATTAAAAAGTGAAGACACGACGTCACTTTTGCATTTTCTGTTCATATAAACGTAGACTAAAAGAATCGTATTTACTGCTCGTTTGGAGGATTTACAGATGAAGCACTTTCCACAACTCACTCTCTCTTGCCTGAAGACACTACAGGCAAAACTCTTTTTTTACTTGTTTTGTTTTTTTGTCAGTTTGGTCTCTTAGCAACAGGTTTTCACGAGGGATTAAAACAAAAAACAAAAAAATCTGTCCACTCTGCACTTAAGATCTTTTCATATTGAACAGGGATGTAACGATATCCAAGTCTCTCGGTACGATTTAGTCCTTGGTCCAGTCCTGCTTTAGTCCTGGTTCAGTCCTGGTTCAGTCCTGGTTCAGTCCTGGTTC